CATCCTTTTCTAAATTCCCGTTCAGCTCGGATCAAAATTTGACAGCTAAGATGTCAATCAATCCAATGCTCTCGCCCTAGAGAGATAAGCCCTAATAGTGGTCAAGATTCGATGGCTAAAATGTGGCCCAACAATATGGTCTCGTCCTAGAGAGAGGAAAAAAAAATTTGTCTGTGGTCCTAGAGAGATAGAAAAGTCCAAATTAGTGTATGGTCCTAAAGAGGTGAAGATTGCCCAATGGTCCTAGTAGTTTTGAAAGCTATAGGTTGCATAGTGTGCTTGTATTTGACATAATATAACTATGATATGTATGATGGTGTAAACTCCATCATGATATAACTAACATGGATTGTATACAATGAGGTCATTTATGGTTCGATGTGAAATTGATGTGTTACAAAATTCGAAAAAATTCCTTTTGAAGTTGGAGCTTGGTCATTGGAATAATTGCAGCCACCCAATTTCACATCCAATGGTCAAGATTAATGTGACCACCTTGTATCAAAGATAAATGGTCTCATTCTATACTTTCCCAAATTATAATTTTTATGATCATGGAAAATCCTTGATTATAAGTGTCATCACCGTCCAATCAGTTCTTTGGTGTTGATGAAAGTAAGTAGACCTAGCATGGCTAGGTGGCTTTGTACAATGTCATCCACCCCCTCGGCATCTCCCTACCGTATTGGTTGGACCCTGATTATGTTTAAGGTTTGTATACTGTGAGATTATTTATTTTTTATACAAGGAGGTCACTATTTTTGGATATGAAATTCAAGAGATGAAATTGTGTCATAACACTCAAAATATATTATTTTGGACTTTGTGCCCAAACAATGATATACCCTCAAATACATGATCTCAAATCTCACATCTTTGTATCAAAAGTAAATAGTATCATTGTATACATTTCTTTATATTTAAGGCTACAAATTGTTTGGTCATACGGAATATGGTCATGTTTTATTTTTATTTATTTAAAGAAGGGTAAGTAAGTGGGCATATTGGCCTCTACTTTAGGGTGAAAATTATAGAGGATAAAAACCAAGGTTTTCGAAACATGATGGAATGAAATACATTACAAAGAGAGAAAAGATAGTGACAAAAAGAGTTACGTGGTTTGGCAAGTCTCTTATATATACAGGATATCAAAGTTCTCTTTCGTTAATCAGAAAAATATTATGCAGGTATGGAGAATACAAGGGTTACATGCTCTCTCAAGCCCTGAAACATAACTCTTCTCTCTCTAGAACACCAACCCAAAGGCTAAAGAAAACTAACCATTTCGCTAAACTTTTCCTTGCATTGTTTTCTCTCTACTAAACATAACTTTTTTAAAGAGGAAACTCATATGCAACCATGTGACCGGTCTTCTCTCTGCCTATGTTATAGGAGTTAGGAAAGGTTTCTCTCTTCCCATGGGTACCCTCTTTCCCATATCCACATGATTTCAAATCCTAAAAAATAGGATTACTATATATATAAGAAATGTAAGTAATTATAAAAAAAAATGAAGTTTCCTGAAATAGAAAACATGTATTCATGTTATTAACATTCTCTCGCTTGAAGACATGTTAATATTTTGACTTAACATGTCTAAAAACTGTTGCCCACCGGTTACTAATCATCAGGTAACCACAAACTCCAAGGAAGTCCTGCACCAAATGAACTTCCCCTTTCTAATGGGCATAGTTAATATATCCGTTGAATTTTCATCACTATGACTTTTTTGCAATAAAATTCTTTCATGTTGTACTACATCATGGATAATGTGATATTGAACATCAATATATTTAGTCACTTCATAGAAGATTGAATTCCTTGCTAGAAACAAGGCACTCTGGTTTTCGTAATGAAGCGGTAAATTTTTTGCACAAATCGAAATTCACCAGGTAAAATCTTTAGCCAAATTGCTTCTTTGGATGCATAAGTAAATAACATATATTCAGCCACTGTGGAAAACAAAGTCACCATAGATTGCAACTAACCGCACCACCTCCCAAAGAAAAACCATTTCTGGTATATCCAAGTTCACTACAAAATCTGCATCAACACAAACGATGACTTTCAAATCCTTTCTATTGCAACAACTACTAGCATTGCAAATTCTCTTCAAATACCGATGGATCCACTTCACAACAGTCTAGTGATAAGGACCAATATTTACCTTATATCTGCTCACAACTCCCACTGCTTGTGTTATATCAAATATGATGCCAGTGATAACAAAGATGTGCCTCCCTACAACTGATGTATTTGGTACATGAGACCTCCGTGTTGTCTCTGCTTCAGTGCTAGGACAATGTTTCAATGGCAAATTCATAGGCATAGGAATGAGGTACTAACTTGTTTAGCATTTTGCATATTGAAACCCTACAAAACCCTCTCCACATAACTCTTCTGGAGAACCAAATTTCTTGTTTTTCCGGCCTTTATTACATGCATCCTAGGAATTCAATTAATGACTCTCAAATCATTTATCTCATATACTCTAGTCAACTGAGCTTTAAGTGTTGCAATATTCTCTTTGTTTGGTTATGCAATAAACTTGTCATCGACATATAATAACAAGGTAGTAACGTTTCCATCGCTACATCTACGAAAATATGTACAATGGACGGCTTCACATCTATAAAAATTGAAGCTCAATATGAAAGTGTCAAATCATTTGTACCAACATCTCGACGTCTGTTTCGACCCATACAAAAATTTCCTGAGCCTACAAACAAATTCTCTTTACCTTCCTTAATAAAGCCTTCAGGTTGGGTCATATAAATTTATTATTTTAAGTCATCATTAAAAAAAGCACTTTTCACATATAATTGTTTCAACTTAAAATAAAAAATAGTAATCATCACTCAAACAACTCTAATAGTGGACATGTACACAACAAGAGAAAAAATCTCATAAAAAACAATACCTGATATTTGAGCATAGTCTTTCAAAACCAATCGAGCTCTATACATTTCAATAGTATCATCAGAAGTGTTATTTTTCTTGAAGACCCCCCTCCTACCAACTGCCTTTCGTTCATCTCATAATTCGACGAGGTCTGTGTCTTATTTATCTATAGGCCTTCTATCAGTTCTTCCATGGATGCCCTCTATTGACAAGCTTCATCGACCTCACATACTTCACGATAAGAACATGATTCCCCCTCCTCTGTTAGGTAAGCGTAAGACAAGGCCTAGTCATTGAGCCCCATATAAGTCTTCTTAAGTCTATCAGATCTTTTCAATTCAACACTACCTAAATATTTTTCAAGCACTTGGATAATTTCAGGCTTTTAGTCTTGACCAATATCTCACTGGTTCTCATGGGTGCATTCCATTTGAATAATTTTTGCTTCTGGCTTATCTTTTGTTTTTCTGCATGGAATTTTCATTAAAGATAACATCTCGGCTTACTATAATCTTGTAGTTAGTAGGATCCCACCAGCTATAACCTTTCGTACCATCAAAAGAGCTAATAAAAACACACATTTTGGATTTTTGCATCAAACTTAGTTCTTTTCTCCTTTAGAATAAATTAATATGCAGCACACCTAAAAACATGAAGGAAAGAATAATCAACAGGTTTACCTGTCCAAACCACTTCTAGTTCTTGTAGCTAATAACAGAGCTGTGAGACATCATAATTAGGAAACAAGCTGTACTAACTGCTTCTGCTCAGAACACTACTCTAACCCGACAACACTTAATATACACCTAGCACGCTCTATAGTGGTACGATTAATCTTATCTACAATACCAGTTTGTTGAGGTGTTTCACGATCTGTCAACCTCCTAGCAATACCATGCTCACTATAAAAATTATTTAATTCACTAAGATAAAGATCCCCCTCATTATCGGTTCTTAGACACTTGATGTTCTTACCTTTATGATTTTCTTCCAATGCCTTAAATTTTTTTGAATAATCAACGGCGTCTGATGTCTTTTTCAGCTACGAAACACATGTTTTTCTTTAAAAATCATCAATAAAAGTGACAAAATATGCATCACCCTTTCCACAATGTTTTCCTAATATTTTTCTAAAGAGAGAGGTGATTGGAAAAAATAGCTTATTTTGTTTGGGGTAGTTATTGCGATAAAGAAAACAAAGTAAGGGGAGGAAATGAGGAGGGGATGGAATGATATATACTTTCAAAAATTAACACCGCACGATAATAAAAATGGGAGAGGGGTTGTTACGAAATTGAATTTTTGTGGGGTCTATATGAAATTGTCCTTTTTCTTTCTGGTTAAACACCATTTTTTCCTTCGAAATTCTGCTTCTATTATAAAACGAAAGGCATGCTTCCATCTATTCTAGTGATGGGTTTTATCGAGTAGAATTCTAGGCTTGTTGGGATCAAATCTTTATCACTAATAATTTACTATTTCAATAAAGTAAATCTTGATAATAGATTATCTATTCTTTGACAATGTCTCTTATAAAATTATATGAAAAACATATATGGAATTTCACATATAAGTTTAACTTTTTTAAAAGTTATCTTTATTTTATTCAAAATAAATTTTCCGAATATCACGTGTTTTTAGCCATAAATAACACAAAACAAAAAAGTTTAAAAAATAAAAAAAAATTATTAAATATTATATGTTACAATGTATGTACAAAACAACTAATAAAATAATATTGAGCTGGGTATGTTAGTTTCAGATGACAGTATTAATTATCATTCAAGGGCCCCTATAACTATGTTTTATTAATAGGTGTGACATTCGGACAACCAAGTTGCTAGAGACTTTCTATACCCAACTTAAGAGAGATAGCAATTGAAGGTTCTTTTCTTTTTTTCTTTGTTTTCATCATTTGGTTGAGGCACATAATCAACATATACTTGAAACCCGGCTATCCAGATATGAAATCATCGATTTGGACTGGGAATCAGCCAAGACCAAAGACATTTGGACAAAGTATTGATATTGGTCTGGTATCCCCCCTAAAACCGCCTCTCATATTTTTTTTTTTTTTGTTTTCAAGCTTACCTAACACAATGGAGACCTCTTCTTGTAGGGAGGTAGCTAGCAAGTATGTTCTTGAGATCAAGGCATTGATACTAAAGCTCTTGGCTTTATTATCTGAAGGACTTGGACTTGATTCTGGTTATTTGAATGAGAAATTTGGCAAGCATAATCAAATACAGTTGATAAATTACTATCCTCCATGTCCTGATCCCAACCTAACACTTGGGCTGCCAGGGCATTCCGATCGGAATGGCATTACAATTCTTTTGCAAGATGAAGTAGGAGGATTGCAAGTGCTCAAAGATGGAAAATGGATCATCGTGAAACCGGAGAAAAATGCTTTTGTGGTTAATATAGCCGATCAATTGCCGGTACGATACAAAGCACTTCTCATTATTCTTATGATGCAGCCTAGTTTACCGTTATAATCACTGGGCTCTTCTTATGAAACTTTCAATGCAGCCCATATTTCAAATCATATCGCGCTATTTTTAAACATGGAGTTTCAAAGTTTTCACATATGTCAATACAAGGCTCACGTTATTTGTACTAACCAAATGTTTTTAATTGTTATTATAAATGGATTAATCACATTGTGCTATTTTTATACAAGGAGCTACAAAGTATTCACATATGTCAGTGCTAGGCTCACATTGTTTATAATAACTATGACCTATTGTTTTTGGGTATTTTTGGGGGGTAATTTAATGAGAAATGAATTTCTTACTTATGGTAGAATTGGAATTCAAGATGTCAAGTTATAGTGCCCAGCCACCTTGTCAAGCTGAATAAGAAGTTGTTGTAATAAGGTTCGATGTGTTTCATGGATCCAATTTGAAAAGCATCTTTATTTCCACAAAATAGAAAAATGGCCCTTAATGAGTCCATGTTTTTAGGAGTTCAGATACAATTTATGGGAGTCCATTGTAGGAAAATAAATATGTCATCTCGACAGTCAGATGTCAATCCTTGACGGTTGGGGTATGCTGTTCTTCCGGCTCTGGGTTTTGATTTTCTTTTAGCGGCAACACACTCCAACTATTTCGATTGGACATATGAGGGTCGTGGTGATGTGATTTTATGTATAGTTTTTACTTGGCAATTGAATATTCCAAAAAGATTTTCTGCACACCCACAAAAGCATATTGCAGATTCATTCCCTTTGCTCAAATCCCAAATGATATTCTACTCCCTCGGAAGTATACTGTCCATTTATTTCCTCAGATAAAACCCCACCTAGGACCCCAAAGTTTTGAGATATAACGTCTTTAATACATATATTAACCTCAACAAAAAATTTTTTTAATTGCACCCCCTAAACACTTGAAAAGGATAATATATCAAGATTGAGTAAAAACTGTCCAGTTTACAGAGGGTGAGACCTAAGTATCCTGAAAAGGATTATATCTCAAGATTGAGTAGAAACCGTCCGATTTTTAGAGGGTAAGATCTAAATATTAGAAAACTCAAACTTAAACTTTTTTCTTCCTTTGTAAATAATTATCTTAATATTTTGAAGTAGTTCCCAAAAATTCAGCTCGTAAAAATCCTCGAGTAGGTCATCTGACCGATGCAGTAGAACTGAGTATATAGAATGCATTCAAATTTTGGACTGTTTGAGAACTTCTTTTATTTTTTATTTGTTTTAATACTGATCCAGTTAATCTAATTTCTTAAGTTCATTCTAAAGCTTCATGTTGAGAAAACACACCAAATATGTGTCCTAGCTGAGGGAGTAGATGTACATTACTAATTTATTCCCCCCCCCCATAGGAGTTTGGGGACTTGAATATCATCACTAGCTCTTTTTAGTTTTCTATCTCTCTTACAGTCTTTCACTTTCTGTTCTATGCTATCATGTGCCTTATCATACAAAAAAATAGAGAGATTTATGTGTTGGTGTGAATGGTTTAGGTTATCAGCAACGGGAGGTTCAAAAGCGTGGAACACCGTGCAATTACGAATTCTACATCCTCTCGAATTTCATTGCCAACATTTTATGGTCCCTCTTTGGATGCATCAATTGGGCCTGCCAATGAATTAGTGAGCAAAGAAAGCCCTGCAATTTACAGGAGTTACACATTTGGGGAGTTCTTTGACAGGTTTTTTAGCCAGGAACTCAAGGGGAAAACAGTCCTTGACCACTTCAAGTATTGTGCAGAGTGAAAATTTCTAGGGCTTAGCATCCTGAACCACAATGAGTTTGATGCAATTGGTGACATGGTTGTCATTATTCTACAGCTTACTTGGCTCCATATGGTGAATGCATTTTGTTAAAATGAGGGTTTCAAGTCCTGTACTGGACACAACTGTTTTCAATGGTAGTGTGCCTTTACCTAAATATATAATGTTGGAAGGTAGAATAGAGATTGCAACAACAATTTGAGAGTATCATTTAATAGAAATTGGTTATATATTTGCTAAATAGCATATGTAAAAGAGGATCTGAAAAACAATATGTTGAAAATATAACTTAAATTTATTATAATCATAAGAAAATTACTTATGTAGGCTCGAATTTTATTGTTCAGTTCCTCGGCTCTATACCCCTTTGTAAAAACCCCTTATTTTTAAAGTTGATTGTTAAAGTTCCTCTAATTTTTGTTTCATTTGATTCATACGTAACTGTTGGCCTCACAGAGTCAAGTCCTCTGGCATGAATGGGGATGTGCGCAGCAGAATCCAGATTTTCGGGACACAAAATATACCAGAAACGATGTGCGTATGTTTATGAGTTGAAAAATCAAGCAATAAAACAAATAAAATAGAAATGACTTACTAATATCGAGATTTTACGTGGTTCACCTTTTAGGCTACGTCCGCTGGATAATAAGATCAGATCCACTGTTAAAAATAATGTTTCGCATGTTCTTCCAAGAAGTAAGTTCTTAGAACTCTCTGATTTCTTCTAATGACTTTATCTATCTTTTTTTTCCCTCTCTGAGGTTCATCTTTCTCTCATAGGCTACTTCTCTTTCCCAGAGGCATTCTATCACCAATTATCAAGAAGTTCTCTAAAATACTTGAGTTCTATAAGCTCAAGGTCGATCTACTCCCAAATCGGGGAGATACGTTAGGTCGGTGCATGATTTGCTTTTGGTTTAGGAAATAGGTCTTTAGTATAAGTAGAGATTATCTTTAATTATCGTTTCGAAAGAGAAGTTAACACGAGATTTAAGGAGATCTAGATAAAAATTGAGGGTTTTCGATAGGATAGAAAGAGAGATAAATAAAAGGGAGTTAAAAGTTAGGAGATTAGAGAGAAACACGTGGAAAGAGAAAAAAATAGGGAGATAAATAGTGAGAAAATAGGGTGGGAAAAGAAAAACATGGAAGAGAGGGAGATCTTTTGTCGTTCTTTTATTTCTTTAATTATTTGGTTTGTTCAAAGTTCATTTGGTGGGAGATGTCTCTTCATTTTGGGGTGAATTCCCTTGCAAAAATTGGGAGATGGTAGATGTCACATCCCAAGAATTTACAATACTATTATTCCTGAGATGTGACGGACAAAACATATATACATCTATTGATAGGACAAATTTACAGTGGCGAGGTCTTACATAGTAAATAAAGAAAGCTAGCACAACAACAGTATCTTCCAAGGTTGATCTTGACTAGCACTCAAAATGAATCCGTAGTTATCCTGAAAATTTTTTTTTACCATAGTTTGATGAGTTTGGCTACTCAGTAAGTGATCATCATAATCCTAAAAATAATCATGATTGAAAGACATCAATATTTTTCAAAATGAGATCTATTAACAGAAATGCATCAACAGTTTCACTTTCAATAAATGCATAATTTAAGTATAATCCGAGTAATTAAAATGCTTATAACACTTTTAACGACAGTACATAATTCAAAGGATTTCACAAAATACCCTACTGGCGTCCCAAGTAGGTCACCTATATACCCCATCAGCGTCTTGATGGGTTCACTTAATCCCTATCGGCGTCCCAGATAGGTCCACTTAATCCCTGCAGGTCCACTTATACCTCACCGGCTTACCGGATGAGTCCACTTAATCCCTACCGGCGTCCCAGATAGGGTCCACTTATACCTCACCGGCGAACCGGGTGAGTCCACTTGCATACTTAAATTATTTCTAAATCTCTTTAAACATTCGAAAGCAGCAATATCATGTACTCAACATATCACTGAAACCATTAATATGAATTTCACTTAAACCATTAACAACAGTCACTCTCTATAACATTTCAAAAATAACCAATCAAATATTTTGGGCTCAAATTTAGAATGGTAGCAGTTTGTAAAGGCATTCTAGCATAATTGCCAATTTAATATGTATAGAAAAACTCTTATAAAAATTCAAGAATACAGAATTATCACAATTTATGGAATATCAATTCACAAATTAACATTTCACAACAATACTATAATCAATTACAAAAATGTCAATTTTTTTAAATAATAAGGCAGTCATTTGCACAGAAATATCACAATTTTACTAAAAGCAGAAATATCACATTTATTTCTAACAATAGACAAGAAAAATAAATAATTTTATTTTCCTAATTTACAGCATTCAAAATTTCTAACATAGATAAAATATCACAATTTTTATTAAAAAGATTATTTTTCAAGATAATGGGGTCACGTGCGCATAAAATTTATCGCGCCTAAAATTCATGATAATAAGCAGAAATAATTATTTCATTTCATTTTTAAAAAGAATGGATTATTTTTCGAGACAATGGGGTCACTTACACACAAAACTTATAAAATAAAGATCCTGGACGGAAATATCACTATTTATTAAAAACAGACTATTTTTCAGAAAGACGATATCACTTACCCACAATTATTTGAGAGGGAGCTTCCGATAAAAAAATTCGGTTCGAGAGAGAAGTTCACTGTGTTTCGACCAGAGAGAGAGATCTCAAAATTTTGTTTTAGGGTGGGAGTGCGCACATCCCCTATTTAAATTCTTATAACGTATTATTATATTGTTTTATTACGCTCTACCTCATACCTGAGGTGTCGCGTTAAAAGTCTGCTTTTATCGTACGAAAACCACGTCCGCTAAAGGACGTTGCCAGCTGCAAGCAGCAGGAGGCAAAAGCAGGCAAAGCAAAAGTTAAACCAAAGTAAAAGTTTTGAAAATAGTGATGGTCCCCAAGGACCATCATACTCAATCAAACCATCACCTATTAAAAGCACCATTTTCCCCCGTTTTTTTTTTTTTTTTTTTTTTTTGAACTTTTAGGATTGTTACAGTATATTCTATCAACTTATTATTATTATGATTATTGTTGTGGTTCCAGTTTTATTTTCTCCTAGGAGTACTTATACCCGCTTCTGCATCATATCACTATGGACATCGGTGAACAAAAAGGGTAAAGTGAATGCAAAATATAAGAAAATAGAGGGAGAAAGAAAAAAAAACAAACAAAAATATCATGGACGGGTTGAAGGGTATGCAAGCACCTTTCCATTATAGGAGATTTCACAATGTTGAAATCTAATGGCTCAAATTTAATTTTATTTTGGGGGTTTGTATAAGGTTGCAAACTTAAACAATCCAATTAAGGCGCACCTCCAAATTTTATGATAACATGTATTTTTGGTGTAAAAAATTCTTTAGATTATTTCAAATCTATTTTTATCTTTAAATATAAAATTTTAAACTTAAAAAATGGGTAAAATCAAGTAGATCTATAAACATATGAAAATCTTGAAAATGAACGGTCTGGTAAAAGTGTTGTAAAATGCAATATTTTTGGTACTCAAAATCTTTCTTTTTTCTTCTTCTTATCGTACATCTCGATGTCGAGATGATCAATTGGAGGGTTTTTTTTCTTCATAGCCATACTTTTCAATGGCTTATCTCCGAGCTATTTAAAATGGGAAAAGGAAGTCTCATTTCCCCTACCAACCATTCATCTCACATATTTGGCAACTATCTGTTTAGTGGAGAAAATGGCTCATGCCTATCGTTCCCATACTTCGCAATCGAGACTCGACATCACAACTGCTGCAGATATGCACACTCCTCCACCGTCATTTGAATAAAAGGCATCTATTTTAGCATTAGGGAATAATGAAAGTTAATTGGATGGACACTCCTGATATGCACACTCCTCCAAGAGTTAGTCCAACGTGAGGGAATAATGAAAGTTAATAAGATGCAAGGTATAAAAGTGCCCTATCAAGTAAGTGACTTAAAGCTTAATTGACCATCTCGTAACGAGTGTTGTCTTAAAAATAAAGAAAAAAAAAAAGAATAGTCCTAATTTGATATACATGATTTTGGAAAAACAATGTGTGAATGAGGCTTTGTGTCTCGACAATTTTTGATGCGATCCAATTCGGATCGACATTCTTTAAAGGAAAATTTGTTTTTGACTCAGTCGACTCACCGGTAAATATGAGATCCTCTTGGGTTTTGCCATCTATGTGCACGATCTTGGGTAGGATCCCGGTATTTGAGATTCTCGATTTCGCAAGCTAGGGGTCCTGGTAACCTTACAATTGGTATTAGAGGACAAGGTGTGTACGGGGCTAAGACTTTTATTAAGAAAAATATGAATAGTGAAGTTTGTTGGATACATGGTTTGAGGTGGAGAAATAAGGATGCCAAGTGTATTAGTAAATTCCACAATAGAAGCAAGTGATAAGAAATTAAGAAATCTATTCAATGAAAGTCAGCAAGCTGAATTTGGTGATTTTTACGATCAAGGTGGAGATTGTTAGATTTGTTGATAGTCAAAGTCACCATACCTATATTTTATTCAAAAAGTTGGGAGTAATTTGAGAAAAGAAAACGGGGGCTTCTTTGGGGAACAAAATAAAGCCCAAGCGATCGTTATAAAAGAGGACCAAAGGAAGACATAATACTCATCCTTTTGAGGGTCACCTCCTAGGGGTTATGGGAACGAATCTTCAATATGGAGATAAGTCTCCAAGAGAGAGAGAAAAAAAGAGAGAAAGTCTCTCAATTGCTTTCAAGTTGCTCTTTTCGGTAGCAGCATAGCGGTAGGAGAAGTAGATATTGATCAATTGTGTTACTCGGTCGGGAGAGCTTGTTTAAAAGGGAAGATCAATGTGGTTCTTATTGATGTTTAGAAATATGTATATATTTTGTAACAAAAATGGTAATCGTCATTGTAATATTAGATTTCTACTTGCCAAAACTGTGAATATAACCTGATGGGGTTAACCACGTAAATCATGTGTTGTGGTGGTATAGTTTTTTATTATTGTTTTATTTCTTGCACTCGATTTGTAGTTGTATTTGTCTACTTCACATTTAGCCTTCTATGTACACGATCTTGGGTGGCATCATGATATTTGGGACTCTAGGTCCCACATACTACACGGTCCAAATAACCCAACAATCACTCTTAAAATATCGTTCTGAAACATTTAAGATTTGATAATCTCAACTATTGTGGTTTACGTATATAGAAAATTTTAGTTTTGAAAATAAAAAAGTATGGTTTTTAATATGTTTTTCCACCCTCCGTTTTGATATAGTGAAATTATATTTTTCGACATTCATTATTAACATGGATGCCTAATGCATAAGGACACACACCTATTTTGGTAAGCCGGTGGCTCACCAAAACCGTGTCTGTGCTCTCCACAAAGGGTGTTTTGTAGGCTTAGTCTTGCATGTTCTCTTCACATAGGATCATTTGTAGGTTTTCCCCATCTATGCAAAAAATATTCTAATGAATATGTAACATCCATTATTATGATGCTAACGCTCTTCCATTTGTCATTTAAAATTTAGTAGAAAAAATTTTTAAAGGAAAAATCCCATCGTTCCCTCTATTTTGTTGTTTCCATATTTTAATAGACCGAATGATTCAAAATATATTTTCTAACCCCTTGATTAACCTTACCCACTTTTCACTATTTTTTAAGCACTAACAAATAAAAAAAAGATATGCGCATTCTAAACCCTTCATCTCTTTATGTGATATATTCTCCCCAAATTTCTCTCTCTTTAACATTCACCCTATTTGTCTCTCTTAGGAGGGAGAGAGAGTGAGCGACACGGGAAAGGGGAGAGAGAGTGGGAAAAAAGGTTGAGAGAGACAGATTTAGGAGAATTACGTAAAAAGGGAAATGATGATGTTTAGAAAGGATATGTCTTTTTTATATTTGTTTAGAAAGGATATGTCTTTTTTATATTTTTTATATTTGAAAGGGAAAAACTTAGCATAGGGGGTTAAAAGATATAAAACTTAGAATTTTTATAGCCCAAGATATGCTTTGAAAACTTTGATCGACCGAGATATAAAACATAAAAATGGGAGGTACGAAGATACTTTCCCATTTTAAATAGAACAACCAGTATAAAAAAAAATGAAAAAAAAATACATAATTGCTATAATGGATAATTTGTTTAAACGTATATAAACCCTACCAATAACTAAATAAATATAAAAATAACTATAGAGAGTTACTGCCAACTATGAAGAAGCAGAATTTCTAATAACATATCAAAATTATAAGATAATATTGAAATTATTATTTTGTGAGTCAGCATCACCTATTGTGAGGAGGTACAGCAAGGATGGATGTGTCATAAATGAGGAGATACTTGTTTTGATGAGTCCGTTGACTCACCAAAACTTTGTCCTTATCACATCAGTAGAACAAGGAGACAATGGTCAAACCCACCTTGTGTCAATGTATCTCGCCTTATTTGGAAATAATATCCATATAGATATCTATGGCCAAAAAAGGTAAAAGGGGATGCACACTATAGGAAAATGGAGGGAGAAAAATTGAATTTAGATTTCACAATGCTGTTTTTATTGGCTAAAAATTATTTTTATTTTTTATTTTTTATTTGATTTAAAATATTTATCTGAATTTTGGGGTTTAGGTTTTGTTTTAAACATAACTAAATAAATATGATAAAAAGTATTTTTAAATTAAAACTATTTTAAACTAAATTAAATTAAAATGGACGGTGATGATAGAATAGCAGACAATAGACAAAGGTACTAGACTTTTGAGTTTGCTTACAAAAGTGGATGCTGTCTAGCGAAAAGTGGGCAGATTTTGTCTCTCATCAGCGGCCATGGCAGAGGTTGCTAAAGGATTAGAGAAACTCATAAGCAATGGTGTCAACTCCAAATATTTGACAGAAAAGTATATCCTTCCTCTTGAAGAACGACCCATGTTCTCTTCCTATGAATCCCTTTCTGAATCCATTCCTGTAATCGATCTCAGTCGTGTTTCTGATGGTTTAGGTCGACAAAATATTATCTGGCAGATCACTAAAGCCTCTGAAGACTATGGATTTTTTCAGGTCAGGTCATCTCTCTCTCTCTCACTTTCTCTCTCATTACTTCCATAACAAAAAGGTATGGATTGCCTTGAACCGGAAGATGATTGTGGCTGGTTTTGGCCTTTTAGGGTGGTCAAGTGAGGAACTCCAACGAAAAAAGGGAAATTATCTGAAATATACTTTAATTTTTGTCTAATAAAAAAAAAAAAATGCTCTCAGGTTTCCTAAACTTCATCCATCCCTTTTTTCTTCAAAATCTTGAAATCCATAAAATCTACGGTCCAAAAATGTATTGTAAGATGCCTTATTTCTAATACTTGAAATCCATTTTTTCTTCCTGATGTCTATGCATCTTGATGTCGGGATGATCAAGTTGATTATATTTGGGCATCGAAACGACCTCTTCTAGTGAAATTTTTGAGCTGTGCGTTAATTTGATTGTTTAGATTCTCGGCTCTATGCAAACTTTTTCTTTTTTAAAATACCCCTACCTATTTTTCACTATTTTTTGTATTTTATTTTGATTAAAATTTACAAATATTTATAGTATTTTTTAAATTTATCTAAAAACGTCTAAACCTTTTTAGCCTGGCCCAGATCTGCTTGGTTAGGACCGGTTACCCAAACTGGTTCCAGGTTACCCACACCTGGCCCATGGCTCGGGTCCATTCCGGGGCGGTGATTTGTAACACTGGTCATCAATATGTTCACCTGCCTGATCATTCTCTCTTCCCCTACAATTAGTTAATATTGCTCTTCTTGTTAAATGTATTGGACTAGATCATGAATCATGGGGTTCCAGAAGATGTTATTCAAGACATGCTGGGTGTTGCCACAGAGTTTTTTGAGATGCCCATTGAAGAGAGAGCAAAGCTTTACTCTGAGGACCCCAAAACACAAGTTAGAGTTTGCACAAGTTTTAACTTTAAAAGCAAGGTTCAATTATGGAGAGATTTTTTGAGGCATCCATGCCATCCATTAGAGGATTACATCGACTCATGGCCCCAAATGCCAGAAAATTACAGGTATTTATGTTTAAATTTGTTAGAGAGTGTGTACTACGAGACCATTTATCCTTGTTATAAGGAGATCACAATTGCTAATAGTAATTAGATGTTGATTATGACAGAGAAGTATGGTTGTGACCTCCTTGTATTAAAAGTAAATAGCATTTTTATATATTTTTCTACTTTTCGACGCTAAATGGTGATTACTAATTCAATTATTTTACATCCTACAGCTGTGAGTGATTAAGAGTTGTTTTTCTCAAGAATAGCTTTTTAATATTTTCTTTGATTTATTAATAAAATCAACAAATCTAAGTCATGTATGCCTATATTCCTTCATACTGTGGCTGCAGCGCTATGAAATCTAAAGTTTCAATAATAGAGAGATCGAGCATAACTATAAATACTAAAAACTCTTAAAATTAGATAATCTAGATAATATGCACCAGTTATACTATATTTAGGAGTCAAATTTTATATATTGGTACATGTGGAGGTTGAAATGATCGATTGGGAGCTAGAACAATCTTTCACAATAGGTCCCTAACGTGCACCTTATAAAAATATTTTCTATGTTACTTTCATAAAAAGAAAATCAAATATCTAAATGAGATGTTATGTAATTGGGAAAATTATAGTTTCCCACCAAATTAGAATGTCTAGGGATTTCAAAAAAAATAAATCAAATACCAAAGTGAGACGTTAGATAAATGTACCAAATTAGAATTTCCAGGGATATCCCCCGTAACCCAGGCCGCCACCCCAAAAAAAAATAACTTTTGATATCACACTTTTCATCCCAACATTGTCTTTTTTATGCCCATCTAAAGCAAAAATTGTAACTTCTTTTGAACTATAATTTCTTAAGTTTAACCCTTGTTTCCCTCTTTCTCTTTCTAGGCCTATGCTGGGCCAGCTTAATTTCAACATAAGCTGATCCGACACATGCTGTGTCGGCATTGTATCAAGGGGATGCCTTGAAAGTAAAATTTGGAGGTGCCTATAATTTTTGAAAAATTATGACCCAACTTTCTAAGCATGTAATCCCCCAATACTTTTTGAATCATTCCCAAACCCCAGAACTTTATATTTTGGCAACTACCCTGCTAAGTTCTAAAGCAGGGTCGTTTAGGACAAAAATACCCCCTATTTTAATTTGTGTTTGATGCCCAATATGTGCCAGTTAGGCACAAAAATATGTCGGACAGAATTTTAATCTTCAAAATGGTCACATTTGGCACAAAAATGTGTTGGATTGGCTTTTGACAATGTTCTTGACCTGCAGAAAATGTGCCAGACCGACTTCGGATATTGAGATTCTACTAGTTTGGCACAAAATACGTCAGACCGATTTATAATGAAATTGTGTTGTTTTGGCAAATTTTGTGTCAAACCAGGTTCGAGAGAGTCGGAGTGGGAAACGGGGACTAAAAAGAAGATATTTTGGTCCAAATTAGTCACCCTTTGTGCTAGGAGTGGTGCAAAATAAATTCAAATCATTAGTGTGGTATAAAAATTTAAAAATACTAAGGAATATCTAGAAAGTTCGATTTGGGGGTAATCTATGGTTTTCCGATAGTTTTCCCTGGACAATTTGCACTTGGAATACATTTTTTCTACGGGAAAATTGTTTAGTAGTAGTGCAGCCCAATGAAAATAAGTAAAGCTTCACCATATAACGCATCGAAAATTACAATTCCAGCAATGAAAAACCTTTACATAGATATTCTGAGCTTGAACATTACGGTTGTTGAAAAAAAACAAACGATTTCATGTTCTAAAAATAATTTATATTAAAAAATTTTCTAGACCACCCATTTCGTCCCAAAAAATAAGCATATACATCCACAGGATTTGTGCTATTTTATGAATTTCAAATGTGAATGTCGGTGTTGGAAATTGATTTTAGAGCCATTATGGAGATTTTTGTTGCCTAGATGTATGAGGATTTGAGATGAGACTTCATTTTACTTTCATAAAGCTTCAGCCTAATTGAAACTCCATCCTTTTCTAAATTCCTGTTCAACACGAGTCAAAATTATACACTAAGATGTCAATCAATCCTATGCTCTCGCCCTAGAGAGATAAGCCCTAATAGTGGTCAAGATTCAATAGCTAAAATGTGACCCAACAATATGGTCTCACCCAAGAGGGAGGAAAAAAAAATTTGTCTGTGGTCCTAGAGAGAAAGAAAAGTCCAAATTAGTGTATGGTCCTAGAAAGGTGAAGACCGCCCGATGGTCCTAGTAGTTTTGAAAGCTATAGGTTGCATAGTGTGCTTGTATTTGCCATAATATAACTATGATCCGTATGATGGTGTAAACTCCATCATGATATAACTAACAAGGATTGTATACAATGAGATCATTTTCGGTTCGATGTGAAATTTGATAGCTTAGATGTGTTACAAAATTCGAAAAAATTCCTTTTGAAGTTGGAGCTTGGTCAATGGAATAACTGCGGCCACCAAATTTCACATCCAAAGGTCAAAATTAATGTGACCACCTTGTATCAAAGATAAATGGTCTCATTCTATACTTTCCCTAACTATAATCTGTATGATTATAAGTGTCATCATCGTCCAATCTGTTCTTAGGCACTGGTGAAAGTAAGTAGACCCAGCATGGCTAGGTGGCTTGGTACAATGTCATGCACCCCCTCGGCATCCCCCTGCCGCATTGGTTGGACCATGATTATGTTTAAGGTTTGTATACTATGAGATCATTTAATTTTTATACAAGGAGGTCACGATTATTGGATGTGAAATTCAAGAGATGAAAATGTCTCGTAACACTCAAAAAATATTATTTTGGACTTTGCGCCCAAACAATGACTTACCCTCAACTACCTGATCTCAAATCTCACATCTTTGTATCAAAAGTAAAAAGTATCATTGTATACATTTCTTTATATTTATGGCTAGAAATTTTTTGGTAATACGGAATATGGTCCTGTTTTATCTTATTTATTTAAAGAAGGGTAAGTAAGTGGGCATTTGGGCCTCTACTTTAGGGTGAAAATTATAAAGGATAAAAGCCAAGGTTTTCGAAACATGAAGGAAAGAAAAACGGTACAAAGAGAGAAAAGATAGTGACGAAAAGATTTACGTGGTTTGACAAGTTTCCTATATATATGACGTGTTTTTAGCCATCAATAACACAAAACAACAAAGTTTAAAAAATAAAAAAAAATTATTCAATATTATATGTTACAATATATGTACCGAACAACTAATAAAATAATATTGAGCTGGGTATGTTAGTTTCAGACCAAATAGTCTGACAGTATTAACTATCATTCAAGGGCCCCTATAACTATGTTTTACTAATATTTGTGACATTCTGACAAACTAGTTGCTAGAGACTTTCTTTTTTTTTTTTCTTTGTTTTCATCATTTGGTTGTGGCGCATAATCAATATATATTTGAAACCCGGCTATCTAGATATGAAATCGTCGATTTGGACTGGGAATCAACCAAGACCAATTCCATTTGGACAAAGTATCGATATTGGCTTTGTTTCCCCCCTAAATCCCCCCTACATATTTTTTATTTTTTTTGTTTTCAAGCTTATTTAACACAGTGGAGACCACTTCTTGTAGGGAGGTAGCTAGCAAGTATGTTCTTGAGATCAGGGCATTGATACTAAAGCTCTTGGCTCTATTATCTGAAGGACTTGGGCTTGATTCTGGTTATTTGAATGAGAAATTTGGCAAGCATAATCAAATACAGTTGATAAATTACTATCCTCCATGTCCAGATCCCAACCTAACACTTGGGCTGCCAGGGCATTCCGATCCGAATGGCATTACAGTTCTTTTGCAAGATGAAGTAGGAGGATTGCAAGTGCTCAAAGATGGAAAATGGATCATCGTGAAACCGGAGAAAAATGCTTTTGTGGTTAATATAGCCGATCAATTGCAGGTACGATACAGAGCTCTTCTCATTATTCTTATGATGCAGCCTAGTTTACCTTTATAATCACTGGGCTCTTCTTATGAAACATTCAATGCTGCCCATATTACAAATCATAGCGCGCTATTTTTAAACATGGAGTTTCAAAGTTTGCACATATGTCAATACTAGGCTCACGTTATTTATACTAACTAAATGTCTTTAATTGTTTTTATAAATGGATTAATCACATTGTGCTATTTTTATACAAGGAGTTACAAAGTATTCACATATGTCAATACTAGGCTCACATTGTGTATAATAACTATAACCTATTGTTTTTGGGTATTTTTGGGGGGTAATTTAATGAGAAATGAATTTCTTACTTATGGTAGAACTGGAATTCAAGATGTGAAGTTATAGTGCCCTGCCACCCTGTCAAGCTGAATAAGAAGTTGTTATATTAAGGCTCGATGTGTTTCATGGATCCAATTTGAAAAGCATCTTTATTTCCACAAAATAGAAAAATGGCCCTTAATGAGTCCATGTTTTCAGGAGTTCAGATACAATTTATGGGAATCCATTGTAGGAAAATATATATGTCATCTCGTGAGTCAGATGTCATCCATTGACGGTTGGGGTATGCTGTTCTTCCGGCTCTGGGTTTTGATTTTCTTTGAGCGGTACAACAACACACTCCAACTAATTCGATTGGACGGGTCGTGGTGATGTGATTTTATGTATAGTTTTTACTTGGCAATTGAATATTCCAAAACGATTTTCTGCACACCCACAAAAGCATATTGCAGATTCATTCCCTTTGTTCAAATCCCAAATGATATTCTACTCCCTCGAAAGTATACTGTCCATTTACTTCCTCACATAAAACCCCACCTAGGACCCCAAATTTTTGAGATATAACCTTTTTAATACATATATTAACCTCAACAAAATTTTTTTTTTAATTGCTCCCCATAAACACTTGAAAAGGATAATATATCAAGATTGAGTAAAAACTGTCCAATTTACAGAGGGTGAGACCTAAGTATCCTGAAAAGGATTATATCTCAAGATTGAGTAGAAACCGTCCGATTTTTAGAGGGTGAGATCTAAATATTAGAAAACTCAAACTTAAACTTTTTCTTTCCTTTGTAAATAATTATCTTAATATTTTTAAGTAGTTCCCAAAAATTCAGCTCGTAAAAATCCTCGAGTAGGTCATCTGACCGATGCAGTAGAACTGAGTATATGGAATGCATTCAAATTTTGGACTGTATGAGAACTTCTTTTATTTTTTATTTGTTTTAATACTGATCCAGTGATTCTAATTTCTTAAGTTCATTCGAAAGCTTCATGTTGAGAAAACACACCAAATATGTGTCCTAGCTGGGGGAGTATCCCCCCCCCCATAGGAGTTTGGGGACTTGAATATCATCACTAGCTCTTTTTAGTTTTCTATCTCTCTTGCAGTCTTTCACTTTCTGTTCTATGCTATCATGTGCCTTATCATACAAAAAAATACAGAGATTTATGTGTTGGTGTGAATGGTTTAGGTTATCAGCAACGGCAGGTTCAAAAGCGTGGAACACCGTGCAATTACGAATTCTACATCCTCTCGAATTTCATTACCAACATTTTATGGTCCCTCTTTGGATGCATCAATTGGGCCTGCCAATGAATTAGTGAGCAAAGAAAGCCCTGCAATTTACAGGAGTTACACATTTGGGGAGTTCTTTGACAGGTTTTTTAGCCAGGAACTCAAGGGGAAAACAGTCCTTGACCACTTCAAGTATTGTGCAGAGTGAAAATTTCTAGGGCTTAGCATCCTGAACCACAATGAGTTTGATGCAATTGGTGACATGGTTGTCAATATTCTACAGCTTACTTGGCTCCATATGGTGAATGCATTTAGTGAAAATAAGGGTTTCAAGTCCTGTACTGGACACAACTGTTTTCAATGGTAGTGTGCCTTTGCCTAAATAAAGATTGCAACAACAATTTGAGAGTATCATTTAATAGAAATTGGTTATATATTTGCTCAATAGCATATGTAAAAGAGGATCTGAAAAACAATATGTTGAAAATATAACTTAAATTTATTATAATCATAAGAAAATTACTTATGTAGGCTCGAATTTTATTGTTCAGTTCCTCGGCTCTATACCCCTTAGTAAAAACCCCTTATTTTTAAAGTTGATTGTTAAAGTTCCTCTAATTTTTGTTTCGTTTAATTCATACGTAATTGTTGGCCTCACAGAGTCAAGTCCTCTGACATGAATGGGGATGTGCGCAGCAGAATCCAGATTTTCGGGACACAAAATATACCAGAAACGATGTGCGTGTGTTTATGAGTTGAAAAATCAAGCAATAAAACAAATAAAATAGAAATGACTTACTAATACCGAGATTTTACGTGGTTCACCTTTTAGGCTACGTCCGCTGGATAATAAGATTAGATCCACTGTTAAAAATAATTGTTTCGCATGTTCTTCCAAGAAGTAAGTTCTTTGAACTCTCTGATTTCTTCTAATGACTTTATCTATCTTTGTTTTCCCTCTCTGAGTTTCATCTCTCTCATAGGCTACTTTTCTTTCCCAGAGGCAATCTATCACCAATTATCGAGAAGTTCTCTAAAATACTTGAGTTCTATAAGCTCAAGGTCGATCTACTCCCAACTCGGGGAGATACGTTAGGTCGGTGCATGATTTGCTTTTGGTTTAGGAAATAGGTCTTTAGTATAAGTAGAGATTATCTTTAATTATCGTTTCGAAAGAGAAGTTAACACGAGATTTAAGGAGATCTAGATAAAAATTGAGGGTTTTCGATAGGATAGAAAGAGAGATAAATAAAGGGGAGTTAAAAGTTAGGAGATTAGAGAGAAACACGTGGAAAGAGAAAAAAATAGGGAGATAAAGAGTGAGAAAATAGGATGGGAAAAGAAAAACCTGGAAGAGAGGGAGATCTTTTGTCGTTCTTTTATTTCTTTAATTATTTGGTTTGTTCAAAGTTTATTTGGTGGGAGATGTCTCTTCATTTTGGGGTGAATTCCCTTGCAAAAATTGGGAGATGGTATATTCTATCAACTTATTATTATTATTATTATTATTGTTGTGGTTCCCGTTTTATTTTCTCCCAGAAGTACTTATACCCGCTTCTACATCATATCACTACGGACATCGGTGAACAAAAAGGGTAAAGCGAATGCAAAATATAAGAAAATAGAGGGAGAAAGAAAAAAAAACAAACAAAAATATCATCGACGGGTAGAAGGGTATGCAAGCACCTTTCCATTATAGGAGATTTCACAATGTTGAAATCTAATGGCTCAAATTTAATTTAATTTTGGGGGTTTGTATAAGGTTGCAAACTTAAACAATCCAATTAAGGCGCACCTCCAAATTTTATGATAACATGTATTTTGGTGCAAAAAATTCTTTGGATTATTTAAAATCTATTTTTATCTTTAAGTATAAAATTTTAAACTTAAAAAATGGGTAAAATCAAGTAGATCTATAAACATATGAAAATCCTGAAAATGAACGGTCTGTTAAAAGTGTTGCAAAATGCACTATTTTTGGTACTCAAAATCTTTTTTTTTTTTCTTCTTATCTTACATCTCGATGTTGAGATGATCAATTCGAGGGTTTTTTTTCTTCATAGCCATACTTTTCAATGGCTTATCTCTGAGCTATTTAAATTGGGAAAGGGAAGTCTCATTTCCCCTACCAACGATTCATCTCACATATTTAGCAACTATCTGTTTAGTGGAGAAAATGGCTCATGCCTATCGTTCCCATACTTTGCAACCGAGACTCGACATCACAACTGCTGCACATATGCACACTCCTTCAACATCATTTGAATAAAAGGCGTCTATTTTAACATTAGGGAATAATGAAAGTTAATTGGATGCACACTCCTGATAAGCACACTCCTCCAAGAGTTAGTCCAACATGAGGGAATAATGAAAGTTAATAAGATGCAAGGTATAAAAGTGCCCTATCAAGTAAGTGACTTAAAGTTTGATTGACCATCTCGTAACGAGTGTTGTCTTAAAAATAAAGAAAAAAAAAAAAATAGTCCCAATTTGATATACACAATTTTGGAAAAACAATGTGTGAATGAGGCTTTGTGTCTCAACAATTTATGATGCGATCCAATTCGGATCGACATTCTTTAAAGGAAAATTTGTTTTTGACTCAGTCGACTCACCGGTAAATATGAGATCCTCTTGGGTGTTGCCATCTATGTACACGATCTTGGGTAGGATCCCGGTATTTGAGATTCTCGGTTTCGCAAGCTAGGGGTCCTGGTAACCTTACAATTGGTATTAGAGGACAAGGTGTGTACGGGGCTAAGACTTTTATTAAGAAAAATATGAATAGTGAAGTTTGATGGCTACATGGTTTGAGGTGGAGAAATAAGGATGCCAAGTGTATTAGTAAATTCCACAATGGTAGCAAGTGATAAGAAATTAAGAAATCTATTCAATGAAAGTCAGCAAGCTGAATTTGGTGATTTTTACGATCAAGGTGGAGATTGTTAGATTTGTTGATAGTCAAAGTCACCATACCTATATTTTATTCAAAAAGTTGGGAGTAATTTGAGAAAAGAAAACGGGGGCTTCTTTGGGGAACAAAATAAAGTCCAAGCGATCGTTATAAAAGAGGACCAAAGGAAGACATAATACTCATCCTTTTGAGGGTCACCTCCTAGGGGTTATGGGAACGAATCTTCAATATGGGGATAGGTCTCCAAGAGAGAGAGAAAAAAAGAGAGAAAGTCTCTCAATTGCTTTCAAGTTGCTCTTTTCGGTAGCAGTATAGCGGTAGGAGAAGAAGATGTTGATCAATTGTGTTACTCGGTCGGGAGAGCATGCTTAAAAGGGAAGATCAATATGGTTCTTATTGATGTTTAGAAATATGTATATATTTTGTAACAAAAATTGTAATCGTCATTGTAATATTAGATTTCTACTTGCCAAAACTGTGAATATAGCCTCATGTGATTAACCACGTAAATCATGTGTTGTGGTGGTATAGTTTTTTATTATTGTTTTATTTCTTACACTCGATTTATAGTTGTATTTGTCTACTTCACATTTAGCTTCTATGTACACGATCTTGGGTGGGATCATGATATTTGGGATTCTAGGTCCCGCATACTACAGGGTCTACGTATATAGAAAATTTTAGTTTTGAAAAAAAAAAAAGTATGGGTTTTAATATGTTTTTCCACCCTCCGTTTTGATATAGTGAAATTATATTTTTCGACATCCATTATTAACATGGATGCCTAATGCATAAGGACACACACCTATTTTGGTGAGCCGGTGGCTTACCAAAACCGTGTCTGTGCTCTCCACAAAGGGTGTTTTGTAGGCTAAGTCTTGCATGTTCTCTTCACATAGGATCATTTGTAAGCTTTCCCCATCTATGCAAAAAATATTCTAATGAATATGTAACATCCATTATTATGATGCTAACGCTCTTCCATTTGTCATTTGATATTTAGTAGAAAAAATTTTTAAAGGAAAAATCCCATCGTTCCCTCTATTTTATTGTTTCCATATTTTAATAGACCGAATGATTCAAAATATATCTCCTAACCCCTTGATTAACCTTACCCACTTTTCACTATTTTTTAAGCACTAACAAATAAAAAAAAGATATGCTTATTCTAAACCCGTCATCTCTTTATGTGATATATTCCCCCCAAATTTCTCTCTGTTTAACATTCACCCTCTTTGTCTCTCTAAGGGGGGAGAGAGAGTGAGCGACACGTGCAAGGGGAGAGAGAGTGGGAAAACAGGTTGAGAGAGACAGATTTAGGAGAATTACGTAAAAGGGGAAATGATGATGTTTAGAAAAGATATGTCTATTTTATATTTGTTTAGAAATGATAGGTCTTTTTTATATTTTTTATATTTGAAAGGGAAAAACTTAGCTTAGGGGGTTAAAAGATAAAAAACTTAGAATTTTTATAGCCCAAGATATGCTTTGAAAACTTCGATTGACCGAGATATAAAACATAAAAATGGGAAGTAGAAAGATACTTTCCCATTTTAAATAGAACAACCAGTATAAAAAAAAATGAAAAACAAATACATAATTGCTATGATGGATAATTTGTTTAAACGTATATAAAGCCTACCAATAACTAAATAAATATAAAAATAACTATAGAGAATTACTGCCAACTATGAAGAAGCAGAATTTCTAATAACATATCAAAATTATAAGATAATATTGAAATTATTATTTTGTGAGTCAGCATCACCTGTTGTGAGGAGGTACAGCAAGGATGGATGTCACATAAATGAGGAGATACTTGTTTTGATGAGTCCGTTGACTCACCAAAACTTTGTCCTTATCACATCAGTAGAACAAGGAGACTATGGTCAAACCCACCTTGTGTCAATGTATCTCGCCTTATTTGGAAATAATATCCATATAGATATCTATGGCCAAAAAAGGTAAAAGGGGATGCACACTATAGGAAAATGGAGGGAGAAAAATTGAATTTAGATTTCACAATGCTGTTTCTATTGGCTAAAAATTATTTTTATTTTTTATTTTTTATTTGATTTAAAATATTTATCTGAATTTTGGGGTTTAGGTTTTGTTTTAAACATAAATAGATAAATATGATAAAAAGTACTTTTAAATTAAAACTATTTTAAACTAAATTAAATTAAAATGGACGGTGATGATAGAATAGCAGACAATAGACAAAGGTACTAGACTTCTGAGTTTGCTTACAAAAGTGAATGCTGTCTAGCGAAAAGTGGGTAGATTTTGTCTCTCATCAACGGCCATGGCAGAGGTTGCTAAAGGATTAGAGAAACTCATAAGCAATGGTGTCAACTCCAAATATTTGACAGAAAAGTATATCCTTCCTCTTGAAGAACGACCCAAGTTCTCTTCCGATGAATCCCTTTCTGAATCCATTCCTGTAATCGTTCTCAGTCGTGTTTCTGATGGTTTAGGTCGACAAAATATTATCTGGCAGATCACTAAAGCCTCTGAAGACTATGGATTTTTTCAGGTCAGGTCATCTCTCTCTCTCTCACTTTCTCTCTCATTACTTCCATAACAAAAAGGTATGGATTGCCTTGAACCAGAAGATGATTGTGGCTGGTTTTGGCCTTTTAGGGTGGTCAAGTGAGGAACTCCAAAGGAAAAAAGGGAAATTATCTGAAATATACTTTAATTTTCGTCTAATAAAAAAAAAAAAAGCTCTCAGGTTTCCTAAACTTCATCCATCCCTTTTTTCTTCAAAATCTTGAAATCCATAAAATTGACGGTCCAAAAATGTATTGTAAGATGCCTTATTTCTAATACTTTAAATCCATTTTTTCTTCTTGATGTCTATGCATCTTGATGTCGGGATGATCAATTTGATTATATTTGGGCATCGAAACGACCTCTTCTAGTGAAATTTTTGAGCTGTGCGTTAATTTGATTGTTTAGATTCTCTGTTCTATGCAAACTTTTTCTTTTTTAAAATACCCCTACCTATTTTTCACTATTTTTTGTATTTTGTTTTGATTAAAATTTGAACATATTTATAGTATTTTTTCAGTTTATCTAAAAACGTCTAAACCATTTTAGCCTGGCCCAGATTTGCTTGGTTAGAACCGGTTACCCAAACTGGTTCGAGGTTACCCACACCTGGCCCATGGCTCGGGTCCATTCCCAGGCGGTGATTTGTAACACTGGTCATCAATATGTTCACCTGCCTGATCATTCTCTTTTCCCCTACAATTAGTTAATATTGCTCTTCTTGTTAAATGTATTGGACTAGATCATGAATCATGGGGTTCCAGAAGATGTTATTCAAGAAATGCTAGGTGTTGCCTCAGAGTTTTTTGAGATGCCCATTGAAGAGAGAGCAAAGCTTTACTCTGAGGACCCCAAAACACAAGTTAGAGTTTGCACAAGTTTTAACTTTAAAAGCAAGGTTCAATTATGGAGAGATTTTTTGAGGCATCCATGCCATCCATTAGAGGATTACATCGACTCATGGCCCCAAATGCCAGAAAATTACAGGTATTTATGTTTAAATTTGTTAGAGAGTGTGTACTACGAGACCATTTATTTTTGTTACAAGGAGATCACAATTGCTAATAGTAATTAGATGTTGATTATGACAGAGAAGTATGGTTGTGACCGCTTTGTATTAAAAGTAAATAGCATTTTTATATATTTTTCTACTTTTCGACGCTAAATGGTGATTACTATATTTAGGAGTCAAATTTTATATATTGGTACATGTGGAGGTTGAAATGATCGACTGGGAGCTAGAACAATCTTTCACAATAGGTCCCTAACGTGCACCTTATCAAAATATTTTCTATGTTACTTTCATAAAAAGAAAATCAAATACCTAAATGAGATGTTATGTAATTGGGAAAATTATAGTTTCCCACCAAATTAGAATGTCTAGGGATTTCTAAAAAAATAAATCAAATACCAAAGTGAGACGTTAGATAAATGTACCAAATTAGAATTTCTAGGGATATCCCCCGTAACCCACGCCGCCACCCCAAAAAAAAATAACTTTTGATATCACACTTTTCATCCCAACATTGTCTTTTTTATGCCCATCTAAAGCAAAAATTGTAACTTCTTTTGGACTATAATTTCTTAAGTTTAACCCTTGTTTCCCGCCCTCTCTTTTTAGGCCTATGCTGGGCCAGCACACAACATAAGCTGATCCGACACATGTTGTGTCGGCATTGTATCAAGGGGATGCCTTAAAAGTAAAATTTGGAGGTGTCTATAATTTTTGAAAAATTATGACCCAACTTTCTAAGCATGTAATCCCCCAATACTTTTTGAATCATTCCCAAACCCCAGAACTTTATATTTTTGCAACTACCCTGCTAAGTCCCAAAGCAGGGTCGTTTAGGACAAAAATACCCCCTATTAGAATCCGTGTTTGATGCCCAATATGTGCCAGTTAGGCACAAAAATATGTCGGACTGAATTTTAATCTTCATAATGGTCATATTTGGCACAAAAATGTGTTGGATTGGCTTTTGACAATGTGCTTGTCCTGCAAAAAATGTGCCAGACCGACTTCTGATATTGAGATTCTACTAGTTTGGCACAAAATACGTCAGACCGATTTATAATGAAATTGTGTTGTTTTGGCAAATTTTGTGTCAAACCAGGTTAGAGAGAGTCGGAGTGGGAAACGGGGACTAAAAAGAAGATATTTTGGTCCAAATTAGTCACCCTTTGTGCTGGGAGTAGTGCAAAATAAATTCAAATCATTAGTGTGGTATAAAAATTTAAAAATACTAAGGAATATCTAGAAAGTTCGATTTGGGGGTAATCTATGGTTTTCCGATAGTTTTCCCTAGACAATTTGCACTTGGAATACATTTTTTCTACAGGAAAATTGTTTAGTAGTAGTGCAGCCCAATGAAAATAAGTAAAGCTTCACCATATAACGCATCGAAAATTATAATTCCAGCAATGAAAAACCTTTACATGGATATTCTGAGCTTGAACATTACGGTTGTGAAAAAAAAAACACGATTTCATGTTCTAAAAATAATTTATATTAAAAATGTTTTCTAGACCATCCATTCCGTCCCAAAAAATGAGCAAATACATGCACAGGATTTGCGCTCTTTTATGAATTTCAATTTTGACTGTCGGTGTTGGAAATTGATTTTAGAGCCATTATGGAGATTTTTGTTGCCTAGATGTATGAGGATTTGAGATGAGACTTCATTTTACTTTCATAAAGCTTAAGCCTTATTGAAACTTCATCCTTTTCTAAATTCCTGTTCAACACGAGTCAAAATTTTACACTAACATGTCAATCAATCCTATGCTCTCGCCCTAGAGAGATAAGCCCTAATGGTCAAGAGATAAGCCCTATGCTCTCGCCCAAGAGGGAGGAATAATTGCAGCCACCCAATTTCACCTCCAATGGTCAAGATTAATGTGACCACCTTGTATCAAAGATAAATGGTCTCATTCTTAACTTTTCCTAACTATAATCTGTATGATTATAAGTGTCATCACCGTCCAATCTGTTTTTAGGCGCTGATGAAAGTAAGTAGACCCAGCATGGCTAGGTGACTTGGTACAATGTCATGCATCCCCTCGGCATCCCCCTACCGCATTGGTTGGACCATGATTATGTTTAAGGTTTGTATACTATGAGATCATTTAATTTTTATACAAGGAGGTCACGATTATTGGATGTGAAATTCAAGAGATGAAAAATGTGTCGTAACACTCAAAAAATATTATTTTGGACTTTGTGCCCAAACAATGACATACCCTCAACTACCTGATCTCAAATCTCACATCTTTGTATCAAATGTAAATAGTATCATTGTATAAATTTCTTTATATTTATGACTAGAAATTTTTTGGTAATACGGAATATGGTCCTGTTTTATCTTATTTATTTAAAGAAGGGTAAGTAAGTGGGCATTTGGGCCTCTACTTTAGGGTGAAAATTTTAAAGGATAAAAACCAAGGTTTTCAAAACATGAAGGTAAGAAAAACATTACAAAGAGAGAAAAGATAGTGACGAAAAGATTTACGTGGTTTGGCAAGTTTCCTATATATATGACGTGTTTTTAGCCATAAATAACACAAAACAACAAAGTTTAAAAAATAAAAAAAAATTATTCCATATTATATGTTACAATATATGTACCGAACAACTAATAAAATAATATTGAGCTGGGTATGTTAGTTTCAGACCAAATAGTTTGACAGTATTAACTATCATTCAAGCACCCCTATAACTAAGTTTTACTAATATTTGGGACATTCTGACAAACTAGTTGCTAGAGACTTTCTATACCCAACACAAGTGAGATAGCAATTGAAGGTTCTTTGTTTTTTTTCTTTGTTTTCATCATTTGGTTGTGGCGCATAATCAATATATTTTTGAAACTCGGCTATCCAGATATGAAATCGTCGATTTGGACTGGGAATCAACCAAGGCCAATTCCATTTGGACAAAGTAACGATATTGGCTTTGTTTCCCCCCTAAAACCCCCCTCCATATTTTTTTTTTTTTGTTTTCAAGCTTATTTAACACAATGGAGACCTCTTCTTGTGGGGAGGTAGCTAGCAAGTATGTTCTTGAGATCAAGGCATTGATACTAAAGCTCTTGGCTCTATTATCTGAAGGACTTGGGCTTGGTTCTGGTTATTTGAATGAAAAATTTGGCAAGCATAATCAAATACAGTTGATAAATTACTATCCTCCATGTCCAGATCCCAACCTAACACTTGGTCTGCCAGGGCATTCCGATCCGAATGGCATTACAGTTTTTTTGCAAGATGAAGTAGGAGGATTGCAAGTGCTCAAAGATGGAAAATGAATCATCGTGAAAGCGGAGAAAAATGCATTTGTGGTTAATATAGCAGATTAATTGCAGGTACGATACAGAGCTCTTCTCATTATTCTTATGATGCAGCCTAGTTTACCTTTATAATAACTTGGCTCTTCTTATGATACTTTCAATGCAGCCCATGTTACAAATCATATGGCGCCATTTTTAAACATGGAGTTTCCATGTTTTCACATATGTCAATACTAGGCTCACATTATTTATACTAACTAAATGTCTTTATTTTTTTTTATAAATGCATTAATCACATTGTGCTATTTTTATACAAGGAGTTACAAAGTATTCACATATGTCAATACTAGGTTCACATTGTTTATAATAACTATGACCTTTTGTTTTTGGGTGTTTTGGGGTGGTAATTAAAAAGAAATGAATTTCTTACTTATTGTAGAATTGGAATTCAAGACGTCATGTTATGTTGCCCTGCCACCCTGACTAGCTGAATAAAAATTGTTATAATATGGCTCGATGAGATTCATGGATCCAATCTGAAAACAATCTTTATTTCCACAAAATATAAAAATGGCCTTAATGAGTCCATGTTTTTAAGAGTTCAGATACAATTTCTGAGAGTCCATTGTAGGAAAATAAACATGTCATCTCGACAGGCAGATGTCAATCCTAGACGGTTGCGGTATGCTGTTCCTCAGGCTCAGGGTTTTCATTTTCTTTGATCGGTACAACAACACACTCCAACTATTTCCATTGGACATATGACGGTCGTGGTGATGTGATTTTATGTATAGTTTTTACATGGCAATTGAATATTCAAGAAAGATTTTATGCACACCCACAAAAGCATATTGCAGATTCATTCCCTTGGTTCAAATCTATATTCTACTCCCTCGGAAGTATACCGTGCATTTACTTTCTCAGAGAAAACCCCACCTTGGCCCCCCATATTTTTGAGATAAAACCTCTTTAGTACATATATTAACCTCAACAAAAAATATTTTTTAATTGCACCCTCTAAATTTACATCCAATTTACAGAGGGTAAGATCTAACTATCCTGAAAAGGATTATTACTCAAGATTGAGTAGAAACCATCCAATTTACAGAGGGTGAGATCTAACTATCCTGAAAAGGATTATTACTCAAGATTGAGTAGAAACCATCCAATTTACTGAGGCTGAGATCTAACTATCCCGAAAAGGATTATTACTCAAGATTGAGTAGAAACCATCCAATTTCTAGAGGGTGAGATCTAAATATTAGAAAACTCAAATTGTAATTTATTTTTTCTTTTGTAAATAATCATCTTGCTATATTTAAGTAGTTCCCAAAAATTCAGCCCGTGAAAATCCTCGAGTAGGTCATCTGACCGACGTACTAGAACTGAGTATATGGAATGCATTCAAATTTTGGACCGTATGAGAACTTCTTTTATTTTTTGTTTGTTTTAATATTGATCCAGCTATTCTAATTTCTTAAGTTGATTCTGAAACTTCATGTTGAAAAAGCCCATCAAATATGTGTCCTAGCTGAGGGAGTAGATGTACATTACTAAATTTTTGCCCCTGCGCCCCGTCCCCCCCCAACGGGAGTATGCTTTTTGGGGACTCAAATATCTTCACTAGTTCTTTTTAGTTCTCCATCTCTCTTATAGTCTTTCACTTTCTATTCTATCCTATCATGTGCTTTAGCATATAAAAAAGTAGAGAGCTTTATGTGTTGGTGTGAATGGTTTAGGTTCTCAGCAACGGGAGGTTCAAAAGCGTGGAACACCGTGCAATTGCGAATTCCACATCCTCTCGAGTTTCATTACCAACATTTTATGGTCCCTTCTTGGATGCATGAATTGGCCTTCCAATGAATTAGTGAGCAAAGAAAGCCCTGCAATTTACAGGAGTTACACATTTGGGGAGTTCTTTGACAGGTTTTTTAGCTTGGAACTCAAGGGGAAAACAGTCCTTGACTAGTTCACGTATTGTGCAGAGTGAATATTGCAAGGGTTTAGCATCCTGAACCACAATGAGTTTGATGCAATTGGTGACATGGTTGTCAATATTCTACAGCTTACCTGGATCCATATGGTGAATGCATTTAGTGAAAATAAGGGTTTCAAGTCCTGTACTGGACATAACTGTTTTCAATGGTAGTGTGCCTTTGCCTAATTATATAATGTTGGAAGGTTGTTGGAAGGTAGAATAGAGATTGCAGCAACAATTTGACAGTATCATTTAGTACAAATTGTTTATATATTTGCAAAAAAGCATAGGCAAAAGAGGATCTGAAAAACAATCTCTAGAAAATAATACTTAAAATTATTATAATCATAAGAAAATTACATATGTAGGCTTGAATTTTATTGTTCAGTGCCTCGGCTCTATATCCCTTAATAAAAACCTCTTATTTTTAAAATTGATTGTAAAAGCACCTCGAATTTAGGTTTCATTTGATTCATACGTAATTGTTGGGCTCATAGAGTCAAGTCCTCTTGCATGAATGCAGATGTGCAAAGCAGAACCTAGATTTATGGGACACAAAATATAAGGGAAACGATGTGCGTGTTTATGAGTCGGAAAATCAAGCAATAAAACAAATAAAATAAAAATTACTCACTAACACCGAGATTTTACGTGGTTCACCTTTTAGGCTACGTCCATTGGATAATAAGATCAGATCCACTATTAAAAATAATGTTTAGAATGTTCTTCCAAGACGTAAGTTTTTTTGAACTCTCTGATTTCTTCTAATAACTTTATCTATCTAGGTTTTCCCTGTTTGAGGTTCTTCTCTCTCTCATCGGCTTCTTTTCTTTTCCAGAGGCATTCTACCACCAATTTTCAAGAAGGTCTCTAAAATATTTGAGTTCTATAAGCTCAAGGTCGATCTACTCTCAACCCGGGGAGATAAGTTAGGTCGGTGCATGATTTGCTTTTGGTTTAGGAAATAGGTCTTTAATATAAGTAGAGATTATCTTTAATTATCTTTTCGAAAGAGAAGTTAACACGAGATTTTAGGTGATCTAGTTAAAAATTGAGGGTTTTAGATAGGATAAAGCCAATCTTGAAAGAGATATAAATAAAGGGGAGTTAAAAGTTAGGAGATTAGAGAGAAACAAGAGGAAAGAGAAAAACTTGGGAGATAAAGAGTGAGAAAATAGGGTGGGAGAGGAAAAACATGGAAGAGAGAGAGATAACTTTTGTCGTTCATTTTTTTCTTTAATTATTTGTTTTGTCCAAAGTTTATTTAAAGGGAGATGTCTCTTCATTTTGGAGTGAATTCCCTTGCAGAAATTGAGAGATGGTATATTCTATCAACTTATTATTATTATTATTATTATTGTTATTGTTCCAGTTTTATTTTCTCCCGAGAGTACTTATCCCCACTTCTGCATCATATCACTATGGACATCTGTGAACAAAAAGGGTAGAGGGAATGCAAAATATAAAAAAATAGAGGGAGAAAGAAAAAAAAACGAACAAAAATATTGCGGACGGGTAGAAGGGTACACAAGCACCATTCCATTATAGGAGATTTCACAATGTTGAAATCTAATGGCTCAAAATTAATTTTATTTTGGGGGTTTGTTTAAGGTTGCAAACTTAAACAAATCCAATTAAGGCGCACCTCCAAATTTTATAGTAACATGTATTTTTGGTGTAAAAAATTCTTTGGATTATTTAAAATCTTTTTTTATTTTTAAATATAAAATTTTATACTTAAAGAATGGTTAAGATCAAGTAGATCTTTAAACATATGTAAATCTGGACAATGAATGGTCTAGATTATGTGTTGTAAGATGCACTTATTTTGGTACTCAAAATCTTTTTTTTTTTTTCCTTCATATCATACATCTCGATGTCGAGATGTTCAATTCGAGGGTTTTTTTTTCTTCATAGCCATACATTTCAATGGCCTATCTAGAGCTATTTAAAATGGGAAAAGGAAGTCTCATTTCCCCTACCAACCATTCATCTCACATCTTTGGCAACTATCAGTTTAGTGGAAGAAGTGGCTCATGCCTATCGTTCCCATACTTTACAACTGAGACTTGATAGCACAGCTGCTTCTGATATGCACACTCCTCCACCATCATTTGGATAAAAGGCCTCTTTTTAAACGTTAGGGAATAATGAACGTTAATTGGATGCACACTCCTGATATGCACACTCCTCCAAGAGTTAGTCCAACGTGAGGGAATAGTGAAAGTTAATAGGATGCAAGGTATAAAAGTGCCCTATCAAGTAGGTGAATTAAAGCTTAATTGACCATCTCGTAACTAGTGTTGTGTTAAAAATAAAGAAATTAAACAAAAAAATAGTCCCAATTTGATGTACACAAATTAAGGAAAACAATGTGTGAATGAGGCTTCGTGTCTCAACAATTTTTGATGCGATCCAACGATCCAATCTGGATCGGCATTCTTTAAAGGTAAAGTGTTTGGTGACTCAGCCGACGCTCCGGTAAATATGCGATTCTGTGGGGTTTGGCCATCTATGTATACGATCTTGGGTTGGATCCCGGTATTTGAGATTCTCGGTTTTACAAGCTAGGGTTCCTAGTAACCTTACAATTGGTATTAAAGGACAAGGTGTATACTGGGCTAAGACTTATGTTAAGAAAAATATGAATAATAAAGTTTGATGGATACATGGTTTGAAAATTCCACAATGGAAACAAGTGATATGAAATTAGGAAATCTATTCAATAAAAGTCGGCAAGATGAATTTGGTGATTTTACGATCAAGGTGGATATTGTTAGATTTGTTGATAGTCAAAGTCACTATACCTATATTTTATTGAAAACATTGAGAGTAATATGGGAAAAGAAAACGGGGTCTTCTTTGGGGAACAAAATAAAGCCCAAGTGATCTCTATAAAAGAGGACCAAAGGAAGACATAATACTCATCCTTTAGATAGAAGCCTCCTAGGGGTTATGCGAAGGAATCTTCATTATGGAGATAGGTCTCCAAGAGAGAGAGAAAAAAAAAGAGAAAGTCTATCGATTGCTCTCAAGTTGCTCTTTTCGGTAGCAGTATACCAGTAGGAGAATAAGATGTTGATCATTTGTGCTATTCGTTCGGGAGAGCGGGTTTAGAAGGGAAGATCAACAAGGTTCTTACTGATGTTTAGAAATAGGTATATCTTTTGTAACAAAAAATTGTAATCGTCATTGTTATATTGGATTTCTACTTGCCAAACCTATAAATATAGCTTTATGGGGTTAACCACATAAATCATGTGTTGTGGTGGTATGGTTTTTAGTTATTGTATTATTTCTTGCACTCGATTGTAGTTGTATTTGTCTACTTCACATTTAGCCTTCTATGTATACGATCTTGCGTGGGATCATGGTATTTGAGATTCTAGGTTCCGCATACTACATGCCTAATAACCCTACAATCACTCTTAAAATATCCATCTCAAACATTTAAGATTTGATAATCTCAACTATAGTGGTTTACATATATAGAATATTTTATTATGAAAATTAAAAATTATGGTTTTTAATGTGTTTGTCCACCCTCCATTTTGATATAGTGCAATTATATTTTTCGACATGAAACATTAATATGAATGCCTAATGCATAGGGAGACACACCTATTTTGGTGAGCCGGTGGCTCACCAAAACCGTCTCCTTTTTAAAAACCGTGGGTCAACTTACCCTGCATGTGCTCATCACAAAGGGTGTTTTGTAGGATTCCCTCATCTATCACTCTTTCCCCTTATAATAAAATGAGGAATGGGACAACATGTAAAAAATATTCTAATGAATATGTAATATCCATTATTATGATGGTAATGCTCTTCCATATATCATTTCAAATTTAGTAGAAATACTTTTTAAAGGGGAAATATGCTCGTTCCCTCTATTTTCGCTTTCCATATTTTAATAGACCGAATGATTCAAAATATATCTCCTAACCGCGTGATTAACTTTACCCACTTTTAACTGTTTTTTTAGCACTAACAAATATAAAAAAGATACGCTCATTCTAAATCCTTCATCTCTTTACGTGATATATTCCCCCAAAATTTCTCTCTCCTTAACATTCACCTCTTTGTCTCTCTAAGGGGGAGAGAGAGAGTGAGCAACACGGGGAAGGAGAGAGAGAGAGTGAGCGACACGGGGAAGGGGAGAGAGAGTGGGAAAACAGGTCGAGTGAGACATATTTAGGAGAAAATTACGTGAAAAGGGAAATGATGATATTTAGGAAGGATATGTCTTTCTTATATTTGTTTGGGGCAAAAAAATAGGTTTGAAAGGGATAAACTTAGTTTAGGAGGTTAAATGATATAAAACTTAGAATTTTTAAAACCCAAGATAAGTTTTGAAAACTTTGATCTACTGAAATATAAAACATAAAAAATGGGAGGTATGAAGATATTCTCCCATTTTTTAATAGAACAACCAGCGAAAAAAAAAATGAAAAACCAATGCATATTTGCTATGATGAATAATTTGTTTAAACTTATATAAAGCCTACCTATAACTAAATAAAAATAAAAATAACTTTAGAGAATTACTGCCAACTATGAAGAAGCAAAATTGCTATTAACATATCAAAATTATAAGATAATATGGAAATTATTACTTTATTATAGTATTATAAAAAGTATATTTAGTGAGTCAACATCTCCTGTTGTGAGGAGGTATAGCAAGGATGGATGTCTCATAAATGAGGAGACACATGTTTTGATGAGTCCGTTGACTCACTAAAACTTTGTCCTTTTCACATGAATAGAACAAGGAGGCTATGGTCAAAGCCTCCTTGTATACATGTATCTCGCCTTATTTGGATATAATATCACTATAGATATCTATGGGCAAAAAAGGTAAAAGGGAATGCACACTATAAGAAAATGGAGGGAGAAAAATTAAATTAAGATTGCACAAAGCTGTTTCTATTGGCTAAAAATTAAGTTTATATTTTATTTTTTATTTGATTTAAAATATTTATCTGAATTTTGGGGTTTAGGTTTTTCTTTAAATATAACTAAATAAAATTGATTAAAAGTATTTTTAAATAAAAACAAAATTACATTTGGATGGATGGTTATGATAGAATAGCAGATAATGGACAAAGGTTTTAAACTCCTAAGTTGGCTCACAAAAGTGGATGCTGTACAACGAAAAGTGGGCAGATTTTGTCTCTCATCAACGGCCACGGCGGAGGTTGCTAATGGATTAGAGAAACTCATAAGCAATGTTGTCAACTCCAAATATTTGACAAAAAAGTATATCCTTCCTGTTGCAGAACGACCCAAGTTCTCTTCCGATGAATCCCTTTCTGAATCCATTACTGTATTTGATCTCAGTCGTGTTTCTGATGGTTTAGGTCGACAAAATATTATCCGGCAGATCTCTAAAGCCTTTGAAGACTATGAATTTTTTCAGGTCTTCCCTTTCTCTCTTTCTCTCTCTCTCTCTCTCTCTCTCTCTCATTTCTTCCACAACAAAAAGGTACGGATTGCCCAGAACCGACAACTGATTGTTGCTGGTTTTTGCCGTTTAGGGTGGGCAAGTGAGGAACTCAAAAGAAAAAAGGGAAATAAGAAAAAATATACTATAATTTTCATCTAATAATTATAAAAAAAAAATACTCTCGGCTTTCATGAACTTTATTCATCTCTTTTTTCTTCAAAATCTTGAAATCCATAAAATTGACGGTCCCAAAATGCATTATAAGATGCCTTATTTCTAAAATTGAAATCCATTTTCTTTTCCTGATGTCTATGCATCTTGATGTCGGGATGATCAATTTGATTATATTTGGCATCAAAATAACCTCTTCAAATGAAATTTTTGAGCTGTGTGCTAATTTGATTGTTTAGAGCCTCGACTCTATATTAACTTTTTCTTATTTAAAATACCCCTACCTATTTTTCACTATTTTTTGTATTTTATTTTGATTAAAATTTAAACATATCTATCGTATTTTTTGAGTTTATCTAAAAACGTTCAACCCTTTTTAGCATGGCCCAGATCTACTTGGTTACGACCGGTTACCCAGACTGGTTCCATGTTACCCACACCCAGCCCATGGCTCGGGTCCATTCCCGGGTGGTGATTTGTAGCACTTGTCATCAATATGTTCACTTGCCTGATCGTTCTCTCTTTCCCCTACAATTAGTTAATATTGCTCTTCTTGTTAAATGTATTGGACTAGATCATTAACCATGGGGTTCCAAAAGAAGTTATTCAAGACATGTTGGGTGTTACCACAGAGTTTTTTGAGATGCCCATTGAAGAGAGAAAAAAGCTCTACTCTAAGGACCCCAAAACACAAGTCAGAGTTTGCACAAGTTTTAACTTTCAAAGCAAGGTTCAGTTTTGGAGAGATTTTCTGAGGCATCCATGCCATCCATTAGAGGATTACAGGTATTTACGTTTAAAATTGTTAGAGAGTGTGTACTATGAGACCAATTATCTTTGTTACAAAGAGATCACAATTGCTAATAGTAATTAGATGTTGATTATGACAGATACGTATGGTTGTGACCTCCTTGTATTAAAAGTAAAAAGCCTTTTTATATATTTTTCTAATTTTCGACATTAAATGGTGATTACAAACTCAATTATTTTATGTCCTACAGCTGTGAATGATTAAGAGTTGTTTTTCTTAAGAATAACTTTTTAATATTTCCTTTGATTTATTAATAAGATCAACAAATCTAAGTCATGTATCCCTCTATTCCTTCATATTGGGGCAGCAGCGCTATGAAGTCTAAAGTTTCAATAATAGAGAGATCGAGCATATCTATAAATACTTAAAACTCTTAAAATTAGAAAATCTAGATAATATGTACCAGATATACTATTTTTAGAAGTTAAATTTTTTATATTGGTACATTTGGAGGTTGAATTGATCGGCTGGGAGCTAGAACAATCTTTCACAATAGGTCCCTAACGTGCAATTTATAAAAATATTTTCCAAGTTACGCACCAAATTAGAATTTCTAGGGATATCCCCCTGTAACGCACCCCGCCACCCCAAAAAAAAAAACTTTTGATATCACACTATTAATCCCAACATTGTCTTTTTTATGCCCATCTAAAGCAAAACTTGTAACTTCTTTTGAACTATAATATCCTAAGTTTAACCCTTGTTTCCCGCTTTCTCTTTCTTGGCCTATGCTGGGCCAACACAATTTAAACATAAGCTAGTCCGACACATGTTGTTTCGGAATTGTATCAAGGGGATGCCTTGAAAGTAAAATTTGCAGGTGCCTATAATTTTGGAAAAAATATGACCCTACTTTTTAAGCATGTAATCCCCCAATACATTTTGACTCAACCCTAAGCCCAAAACTTTTTTTTGTTGCAACTACCCCGCTAAATTATAAAGCAAGGTCATTTAGGACAAAAATACCCCCTATTTTACTCCATGTTTGATGCCCAATATGTGCCAGTTAGGCACAAAAATATGTCGAACTGAATTTTCATCTTCAAAATTGTCATTTTTGGCACAACAGTGAGTTGGATTGGCTTTTGACAACGTGTCGGTCCTACACAAAATGTGCCAGACCAGGTTCGGATATTGAGATTCTACTAGTCTGCCACAAAATACGTCAGACCGATTTATAGTGAAATTGTGTCGTTTTGGCACATTTTGTGTCAAACCAGGATAGAGAGAGTTGGAGTGGGAAACGTGGATTACAACGAAGATACTTTGGTCCAAAAAATAAACCCTTTGTGCTGGGAGTAGTGCAAAATAAATTCAAATCATTAGTGTGGTATGAAAGATAAAAAATACTAGGGAATATCTAGAAAGTTCGATTTGGGGGTATTTATGGTTTTTCCTCTAGTTTTCCCTAGACAATTTGCACTTGGAATACTTTTTCTCTACAAGAAAATTGTATAATAGTAGTGCAGCCCTATGAAAATAAGTAAAGCTTCACTATATAACTCATCAAAAATTACAATTCAAGCATTGAAAAACCTTTATGTAGATAATCTGAGCTTGAACATTACGGTTGTGGAAAAAAAATAAAAGATTTCAAGTTCTAAAAATAACGTATATTAACAAATTATCTAGACCATCCATTTCGTCCCAAAAATAAGCATATACATCCACATGATTTGTGCTATTTTATGAATTTCAAATTTAAATGTCGGTGTTGGAAATTGATTTTACAACCATGATGGAGGTTTTTGTTGCCTAGATGTATGAGGATTTGAGATGGGACATTATTTTGCTTTCATAAAGCTAAGCCTTATTGAAACTCCATCCTTCCTAAATTCCCTTTCAGCTCGGATCAAATTTGGACAGCTAAGATGTCAATCAGTCCTATGCTCTCACCCTAGAGAGAAAAGCCTTAATAGTGGTCTAGATTCGATGGCTAAATGTTTGCCAAATAATATGGTCTCCCCCTAGAGAGAGGAAAAAAACATTGGTCTGTGGTCCTAGAGAGATTGAAAAGTCCAAATTAGTGTATGGTCCTAGAGAGGTGAAGACCGCCCCATGGTCCTAGTAGTTTTGAAAGCTATAGGTTGCATAGTGTGCTTGTATTTGGCATAATATAACAATGATCCGTATGATGGTGTAAACTCCATCATGATATAACTAACCTGGATCATATACAATGAGATCTTTTACGGTTCGATGTGAAATTTGATAGCTTCGATGTTTTACAAAAATCGAAAAAACTCCTTTTGAAGTTGGAGCTTGGTCAATGGAATAATTGCAGCCACCCAATTTCACATCCAATGGTCAAGATTAATGTGACCACCATCTATCAAAGATAAAAGCTCTCATTCTACACTTTCCCAAACTATAATTTGTATGATGATGGAAAATCCATGATTATAAGTGTCATCACCATCCAATCAGTTCTTAGGCGCTGATGAAAGTAAGTAGACCCAGCATGGCTAGGTGCCTTGGTACAATGTCATCCACCCCCTCGGCATCCCCCTACCGCATTGGTTGGACCATGATTATGTTTAAGGTTCGTATACTGTGAGATCATTTAATTTTTATACAAGAAAATCCATGATTATAAGTGTCATCACCATCCAATCAGTTCTTAGGCGCTGATGAAAGTAAGTAGACCCAGCATGGCTAGGTGCCTTGGTACAATGTCATCCACCCCCTCGGCATCCCCCTACCGCATTGGTTGGACCATGGTTATGTTTAAGGTTCGTATACTGTGAGATCATTTAATTTTTATACGAGGAGGTCACGATTATTGGATGTGAAAGAGATGAAATTGTGCTGTAACACTCAAAAAATATGATTTTGGAATTTGTGCCCAAACAATGACATACCCTCAACTACCTGATCACAAATCCCACGTCTTTGTATCAAAAGTAAATAGTATCATTGTATACATTTCTTTATATTTATGGCTAGAAATTGTTTGGTCATACGGAATATGGTTCTGTTTTATTTTTATTTATTTAAAGAAGGTAAGTAAGTGGGCATGTGGGCCTCTACTTTTGGGTGAAAATTATAGAAGATAAAAACCAAGGTTTTCGAAACATGAAGGAAAGGAAAACATTACAAAGAGTGAAAAGATGGTGACGAAAGGATTTACGTAGTTTGGCAAGTTTCCTATATATACAGGATATCAAAGTTCTCTTCCACTAATCAGAAAAATATTATGCAGGCATGGAGAATACAAGGGATAACATACTCTTTCAAGCCCTGAAACATAGTCTTTCTCTCTCTAGAACACCAACCCAAAGGCTAAAGAAAACTAACCATTTCGCTAAACTTTTCCTTGCATTGTTTTCTCTCTCTACAAAACATGACTTTTTTAAAAATGAAACTCATATGCATTCACGTGACCCGTCTTCTCTCTCCCTATGTTATAAGAGTTAGGAAAGGTTTCCCTCTTCCCAAGGGTACCCACTTTCACATATCCACATGGTTTCAAATCCTACAAAATAGGATTACTATATATATAAGAAATCTAATTAGTTATAAAAATAATGAAATTTCCAAAAAATAGGATACATGTATTCATGTTATTAACATTCTCTCGCTTAAAGATATGTTTCTATTTTGACTTAGCCTAATCTAAAAATTGTTGCCCACCAGTTACTCATCATCAAGTAACCTCAAACTCCAAGGAAGTCCTGCACAAGGTGAACTTCCCCTTTCTATTGGGCTTAGTTAATATATCCGTTGATATTTCATCACTATAACTTTTTTGCAATAAAATTCTTTCATGTTTTACTACATCATGGATAATGTAATATTGAACATCAATATATTTAGTCACTTCATAGAAGATTGAACTCCTTACGAGAAACAAGGCACTCTGGTTATCGTAATGACGCGATAAACTTTTTTGCACTACTCAGAATTCTCCAATTAACATGTTTAGCCAAATTGCTTCTTTGGTTGCATAAGTAAATAACATATATTCAACCACTGTAGAAAACAAAGTCACCATAGATTGCAACTATGATAATCAACTAACTGCACCACCTCCCAAAGAAAAACCATATATTGTATATCCAAGTTCCCTACAAAATCTACATCAACACAATCAGTGACTTTCAAATCCTTTATATTGCGACAACTACCAGCATTGCAAATTCCCTTCAAATACCGATGAATCCACTTCACAACAGTCTAGTGATAAGGACCAAGATTTACCTTATATCTCCTCACAACTCCCACTGTTTGTGTTATGTCAAATATGATGCTAGTGATAACAAAAAGAGCCTCCCTACTGCGGATGTATTTGGTACTTGAGACATCTGTGTTGTCTCTGCTTTGGTGATAGGACTATGTTTCAGAGGCAAATTCATATGCATAAGAATGAGGTACTAACTTGTTTGGCAATTTGCATATTGAAACCCTATAGAACCCTCTCCACACAACTCTTCTGGTTAACCATATTTTCCTATTTTTCCTGTCTTTATTACATGCATCCTAGGAATTCGATTAATGACTCTCAAATCATTTATCTCAAATCCTCTAGTCAACTGAGCTTTAAGTGTTGCAATATACTCTTTGTTCGGTTCTGCAATAATCATGTCATCAACATATAATAACAAGGTAGTAACGTTTCCATCACTACATCCAAGAAAATATGTAAAATGGTCGGCTTCACATCTATAAAAATTCAAGCTCAATATGAAAGCGTCAAATCATTTGTACCAACATCTCGATGTCTGTTTCGACCCATACAATGATTTCTTGAGCCTACAAACAAGTTCTCTTTACTTTCCTTAACAAAGCCTTCAGGTTGGGTCATATAAATTTATTCTTTTTAAGTCATCAATAAAAAAAGCACTTTTCACCTCTGATTGTTTCAACTCTAAATCAAGAGTAGTAATCATCACTAAAACAACTCTAATAGTTGACATGTGCACAACAAGAGAAAAAATCTCATAAAAAACAATACTTGATAGTTGAGCATAGTCTTTCAAAACCAATCAAGCTCTATACATTTAAATAGTATCATCAGAAGTTTTATTTTTCTCGAAGACGCACCTGCTACCAACTGCCTTCACTCATCTCATAATTCGATGAGGTACGTGTCTTATTTATCTATAGGTCTTCCATCTCTTCTTCCATGAATGCTCTCTATTGACAAGCTTCATCAACCTCACATGCTTCACGATAAGAACATGACTCCCCACTACCTAAATATTTTTCAAGCACCTGGATAATTACAGGTTCATGGTCCTGACCATTATCTCGCTGGTTCTCATGGGTGCATTCCATCTCAATAGTTTTTGCATCTGGCATATCTTTTGTTTTTCTGCATGGAATTTTCATTAAAGGTAACATCTCGGCTAATTGTAATCTTGTAGTTAGTAGGATCCCACCAGCTATAACCCTTTGAACCATTAAAAGAGCTAATAAAAACACACTTTTTGGATTTTGCATCCAACTTCTTTCTTTTCTCCTTTAGAATAAATGAATATGCAGCACACCTAAAAACATGAAGGAAAGAATAATCAACAGGTTTACCTGTCCAAACCACTTGTAGTTCTTGTTGCTAATAACAGAGCTGAAAGACATAATAATTAGGAAACAAGCTGTATGAACTGCTTCTACTCAGAACACTACTCTAACCCGACAACACTTAATATACACCTGGCACGCTCTATAATGGTACGATTAATCTTATCAACAATATCAGTTTGTTGAGGTGTTTCACGATCTGTCAACCTCCTAACAATACCATGCTCACTATAAAAATTATTAAATTCACTAGGATAAAGTTCCCCCTCATTATCGGTGCTGACACACTTGATGTTCTTACCTTTATGATTTTTTCCTAACGCCTTAAATTTTTGGGTATAATCAATGGCGTCTGATGTCTTTTTCAGCATAGAAACCCATGTGTTTTCTTTAAAAATCATCAATAAAAGTGACAAAATATGCACCACCCTCTCCACAATGTTTCCTTAAATTTTTCTAAAAAGAGAGAGAGGATTGGAAAAAATAGCTTATTTTGTTTGGGTTAGTTATTGCGTTAAAGAAAACAAAGTAAGGGGAGGAAATGAGGAGGAGATGGAATCATATATAATATCTAAAATGAATGCCGAATGAATACCCAACTCAATGAGATAGCAATTAAAGGTTCTTTTCTTTTTTTCTTTTTTTACATCATTTTGTTGTGGCACATAATCAATATATATTGGAAACTTGGCTATCTAGATATGAGCTCGTCGATTTGGACCGAGAATCGGCCAAGACCAAATCCATTTGGGCAAAGTATCGATATTGGCTTGGTTTTCCCCCTAAAAAGCTCTTTCATATTTGTTTTTTATTTTTTTTTTGTTTTCAAGCTTATCTAACGCAGTGGAGGCCTCTTCCTGTAGGGAGGTAGCTAGTAAGTATGCTCTTGAAATCAAGGCATTGACACTAAAGCTCTTGGCTCTATTATCTGAAGGATTTGGACTTGATTCTGGTTATTTGAATGAGAAATTTGGCAAGCATAATCAAATACAGTTGATAAATTACTATCCTCCATGCCCAGATCCCATCCTAACACTTGGGCTGCCAGGGCATTCCGATTCAAATGGCATTACAGTTACTTTGCAAGATGAAGTAGGAGGATTGCAAGTGCTCAAAGATGGAAAATGGATCATCGTGAAACCGGAGAAAAATGCTTTTGTGGTTAATATAGCCAATAATTTGCAGGTACGATATAGAGCTCTTCTCCAAATTCTTATGATGCAGCCTAGCTTACCTTTATAATAACTGGGCTCTTCTTATGATACTTTCAATGCAGCCCTTATTACAAATCACATGGTGCTATATTTAAACATGGAGTTTCCATGCTTTCACATATGTCAATACTAGGCTCACATTATTTATACTAACTAAATGTCTTCAATTTTTTTACAAATGAATTAATCACAATGTTCTATTTTTATACAAGGAGTTACAAAGTATTCACATATGTCAATACTAGGCTCACATTGTTTATAATAACTATGATCTTTTGTTTTTGGGTGTTTTTTGGGGGTAATTTAATGAGAAATGAATTTCTTACTTTTGGTAGAAATGAAAATCAAGACGTCATGTTATAGTGCTTAGCCACCCTAACTAGCTGAATAAGAAATTGTTATATTAAGGCATCTTTATTTCCACAAAATATAAAAATGGCCCTTAAACATGTCATCTCGACAGTCAGATGTCAATCTTGGACGGTTGGGGTATGTTCTTCTTCCGACTCGGGGTTTTGAATTTCTTTGAGTGGTACCACGACACACTCTCAACTATTTCCATTTGACATATGAGGGTCGTGGTGATGTGATTTTATGTATAGTTTTTACTTGGCAATTGAATATTCCAAAAGATTTTATGCACACCCACAAAAGCATATTGCAGATTCATTCCCTTGCTTCAAATCTCAAATGATATTCTACTCCCTCGAAAGTATACTGTCCATTTACTTCCTCAGATAAAACCCCACCTAGGAGCCCCAAATTTTTGAGATATAACCTCTTTAATACATATACTAACCTCAACAAAAAATAATTTTTAATTGCACCCTCTAAACACTTGAAAAGGATTATATATCAAGATTGAGTAGAAACCGTCCAATTTACAGAGGGTGAGATCTAAGTATTCTGAAAAGGATTATATCTCAAGATTGAGTAGAAACCGTCCAATTTCTAGAGGGTGAGATTTACATATTAGAAAACTCATATTTCAATTTTTTTTTTCTTTTGTAAATAATCATCTTGTTATATTTAAGTAACAAAAATTTCAGCTCGTAAAAATCCTCGATTTGGTCTTCTGACCGATGCACTAGAACTGAGTATATGGAATGCATTCAAATTTTGGACTGTATGAGAACTTTTATTTTTTATTTGTTTTATTACTGATCCAGCGATTCTAATTTTTTAAGTCGATTCTAAAACTTCATGTTTAGAAAACCCACCAAATATGTGTCCTAGCAAAGGGAGTAGATGTACATTACTAAATTTTTGCTCCCCCCCCCCCCCTACGGGAGTTTGCTCCTTGGGGACTTGAATATCTTCTCTAGTTCCTTTTAGTTTTCTATCTCTCTTACAGTCTTTCACTTTCTGTTCTATGCTATCATGTGCTTTAGCATACAAAAAAATAGAGAGCTTTATGTGTTGGTGTGAATGGTTTAGGTTATCAGCAATGGGAGGTTCAAAAGCGTGGAACACAGTGCAATTACGAATTCCACATCCTCTCGAATTTCATTACCAACATTTTATGGTCCCTCTTTGGATGCATCAATTGGGCCTGCCAATGAATTACTGAACAAAGAAAGCCCTGCAATTTACAGGAGTTACACATTTGGGGAGTTCTTTGACAGGTTTTTTAGCTAGGAACTCAAGGGGAAAACAGTCCTTGACCAGTTCAAGTATTGTGCAGAGTGAATATTGCAAGGGTTTAGCATCTTGAACCACAATGAGTTTGATGCAATTGGTGACATGGTTGTCAATATTCTACAGCTTACCTGGATCCATATGGTGAATGCATTTAGTGAAAATAAGGGTTTCAAGTCCTGTACTGGACACAACTGTTTTCAATGGTAGTGTGCCTTTGCCTAATTATATAATGTTGGAAGGTTGTTGGAAGGTAGAATAGAGATTGCAGCAACAATTTGACAGTATCATTTAGTACAAATTGTTTATATATTTGCAAAAAAGCATAGGTAAAAGAGGATCTGAAAAACAATCTCTAGAAAATATTACTTAAGATTATTATAATCATAAGAAAATTACTTGAATTTTATTGTTCAGTGCCTCGGCTCTATATCCCTTAGTAAAAAACCCTTATTTTTAAAAATTGATTGTGAAAGCTCCTCGAATTTTGATTTCATTTGATTCATACGTAATTTTGGGCTCACAGAGTAAAGTCCTCTTGCATGAATGCAGATGTGCGCCGCAGAACCTAGATTTACGGGACACAAAATATACCAGACACGATGTGCGTGTGTTTATGAGTAGGAAAATCAAGCAATAAAACAAATACAATAAAAATAACTCACTAACTGCGAGATTTTACGTGGTTCACCTTTTAGGCTACACCCATTGGATAATAAGATCAGATCCACTATTAAAAATAATGTTTAGAATATTCTTCCAAGAAGTAAGTTTTTTTGAACTCTCTGATTTCTTCTAATGACTTTATCTATCTAGGTTTTCCCTCTCTGAGGTTCTTCTCTTTCTCATAGGCTTCGTTTCTTTCCCAGAGGCATTCTATCACCCATTTTCGAGAAGGTTTCTAAAATCTTTGAGCTCTATAAGCTCAAGGTCGATCTATTCCCAACCCGGGGAGATAAGTTAGGTCGGTGCCTGATTTTCTTTTGGTTTAGGAAATAGGTCTTTAGTATAAGTAGAGATTATCTTTAATTATATTTTCGAAAGAGAAGTTAGCACGAGATTTAAGGAGATCTAGATAAAAATTGAGGGTTTTAGATAGGATAAAGCCAATCTTGAATGAGCGAAAAAAAAAGGGGAGTTAAAAGTTAGGAGATTAGAGAGAATATGAGGAAAGAGAAAAAAATAGGGAGATAAACAGTGAGAAAATAGGGTGGGAGAGAAAAAACATGGAAGAGAGAGAGAACTTTTGGCGTTCTTTTATTTCTTTAATTATTTGTTTTGTTCAAAGTTTATTTAAAGGGAGATATCTTTTCATTTTGAGGTGAATTCCCTTGTAGAAATTGAGAGATGGTATATTCTATCAGTTTATTATTAATATTATTATTATTGTTATTGTTCCAGTTTTATTTTCTCGCTGGAGTACTTATACCTGCTTCTGCATCATATCACCATGGACATCTGTGAACAAAAAGGGTAAAGCGAATGCAAAATATAAGAAAATAGAGGGGGAAAGAAAAAAAAAAGAACAAAAATATCGTGGACGGGTAGAAGGGTATGCAAGCATCATTCCATTACAGAAGATTTAACAATGTTGAAATCTAATGGGTCGAAATTAATTTAGTTTCGGGGGTTTGTATAAGGTTGCAAACTTAAACAATCCAATTAAGGCGCACCTCCAAAGTTTATGATAACATGTATTTTTGGTGGCAAAAATTCTTTGGATTATTTAAAATCTATTTTTATCTTTAAATATTAAATTTTAAACTTAAAAAATAGTTAAAATCAAGTACATCTATAAACATATGAAAATCTTGAAAATGAACGGTCTAGATAATGTGTTGCAAGATAACACTATTTTTGGTACTCAAAATCTGTTATGTTTTTTTTCCTTCATATCATACATTTCGATGTCGAGATGATCAATTCGAGGGTTTTTTTTCTTCATAGCCATATATTTCAATGGCCTATCTCCGAGCTATTTAAAATGGGAAAAGGAAGTCTCATTTCCCCTACCTACCATTCATCTCACATCTGTGGCAACCATCTGTTTAGTGGAAACAATGGCTCATGCGTATCGTTCCCATACTTTGCAACTGAGACTTGACACCTCAACTGCTCCTGATATCCACACTCCTCCACCATCATTTGGATAAAAGGCCTCTATTTTAACGTTGGGGAATAATGAAAGTTAATTGGATGCACACTCCTTCAAGAGTTAGTCCAACGGGAGGGAATAATGAAAGTTAATAGAATGCAAGGTATAAAAGTGCCCTATCAAGTAGGTAACTTAAAGCTCAATTGACCCTCTCGTAATGAGTGTTGTATTAAAAATAAAGAAATTAAAAAAAATAGTCCCAATTTGATGTACAAAATTTAAGAAAAACATTGTTTGAATGAGGCTTTGTGTTAACAATTTTTGATGCGATCCAACGATCCAATCTAGATCGGCATTCTTTAAAGGAAAAGTGTTTGTTGACTCAGCCGACCCAACGGTAAATATGCGATCCTGTTGGGTTTGGCCATCTATGTACACGATCTTTGGTAGGATCCCGGTATTTGAGATTCTCGGTTCTGCAAGTTACGGTTCGTGGTGACCTTACAATTGGTATCAGAGGACAAGGAGTGTACGGGGCTAAGACTTATATTAAGAACAATATGAATAATGAAGTTTGATGGATACATGGTTTGGGGTGGAGAAATACGGATGCCAAGTGTTTTAAAAAATTCCACAATGGAAGCAAGTGATAAGAAATTAAGAAATCTATTCAATGAAAGTCGGCAAGATGAATTTGGTGATTTTTACGATCAAGGTGGAGATTGTTAGATTTGTTGATAGTCAAAATCACTATACCTATATTTTATTCAAAAAATTGGGAGTAATATGAGAAAAGAAAATGGGGGCTTCGTTGGGGAACAAAATAAAGCCCAACTGATCTCTATAAAAGGGGACCCAAGGAAGACATAATACTCATCCTTTTGAGGGTCACCTCCTAGGGGTTATGGGAAGGAATCTTCAATATAGAGATAGGTCTCCAAGAGAGAGAGAAAAAAAAAAGAGAAAGTCTCTCGATTGCACTCAAGTTGCTCTTTTCTGTGGCAGTATAGTGGTAGGAAAAGAAGATGTTGATCATTTGTGTTACTCGGTTGGGAGAGCGAGTTTAGAAGAGAAGATCAATAAGGTTCCTTCCGATATTTAGAAATAGATATATCTTTTGTAACAAAAAATTGTAATCGTCATTGTAATATTGGATTTCTACTTGCCAAACTGTGAATATGGCCTTATGGGGTTAACATTCACCCTCTTTGTCTCTCTAAGGGGGAGAGAGAGAGTGAGCGACACTGGCAAGGGGATAGAGTGTGGGAAAACAGGTAGAGAGAGACAGATTTAGGAGAAAGTTACTTGAAAAGGGAAATGATGATGTTTAGAAAGGATATGTCTTTTTTATAATTGTTTGGGGCAAAAAAATTGGTTTGAATGGGATAAACTTAGCTTAGGGGGTTAAAAGATATAATACTTTGAATTTTTATAACCCAAGATATGTTTTGAAAACTTCTGTCAACTGAGATATAAAACTTAAAAATGGGAGGTATGAAGATATTTTCCCATTTTTAAATAGAACAATCGGTTAATAAAATATGAAAAGCCAATAAATAATTGCTATGTTGGATAATTTGTTTAAACATATATAAAGCCTACCTATAACTAGCTAAATATAAAAATGACTTTAGAAAATTGCTGCCAACTATGAAGAAGCAAAATTTCTAATAACATATCAAAATTATTAGATAATATGGAAATTATTACTTTATTATAGTCTTATAAAAAGTATATTTAGTGAGTTAGCATCACCTGTTGTGAGGAGGCACAACAAAGATGGATGTCTCATAAATGAGGAGACACATGTTTTGATGAGTCCGTTGACTCACCAAATTGTTTGGTCATACGGAATATGGCCCTGTTTTATTTTTTTTTATTTAAAGAATAGTAAGTGGGCATTTGGACCTATACTTTTGGGTGAAAATTGCAGAGGATAAAAACCGAGGTTTTTGAAACATGAAGGAAAGAAAAACATTACAAAGAGAGAAAAGATTGTGACGAAAAGATTTACGTGGTTTGGCAAGTTTCCTATATATACAGGATAACAATATTCTCTTTCGCTAATCAAAAAAATATTATGCAATCATGGAGAATACAAGGGATTACATGCTCTCTCAAGCCCTGAAACATAGTCTTTCTCTCTCTAAAACACAACCCAAAGGCTAAAGAAAACTAACCATTTCACTAAACTTTTCCTTGCATTGTTTTCTCTCTCTACAAAACATAACTTTTTTAAAGAGGAAACTCATATGCAATCATGTGACCCGTCTTCTCTCTCCCTATGTTGTAGGAGTTAGGAAAGGTTTCCCTCTTCCCATGGGTACCCTCTTTCCCATATCCACATGGTTTCAAATCCTACGAAATAGGATTACCATATATATGAGAAATCTAATTAGTTATAAAAAGAAATGAAGTTTCCTAAAAATAGGAAACATGTATTGATGTCATTAACATATTCTAGCTTGAAGATATGTTTCCATTTTTACTTAGCATATTCTAAAAATTATTGCTCGCCAATTACTATTCCCCAAGTAACCACAAACTCCAAGGAAGTCCTGCACCAAGTGAACTTCCTCTTTCTAATGGGATTAGTTAATATATCCGTTGAATTTTCATCACTAGGACTTTTTTGCAATAAAATTCTTTCATGTTGTACTACATCATGGATAATGTGATATCGAATCAATATATTTAGTAACTTTATAGAAGATAGAATTCCTTGCTAGAAACAAGGCACTCTGGTTATCGTAATGAAGCGATAAACTTTTTGCACAACTCAAAACTCCCCAAGTAACATGTTTAACCAAATTGCTTCTTTGAATGCATAAGTAAATAACATCTATTCAGCCACTGTAGAAAACAAAGTCACCACAGATTGCAACTATGACAATCAACTAACTGCACAACCTCCCAAAGAAAAACCATATTTGGTATATCCAAGATCCCTATAAAATCTGCATCAACACAATCAGTGACTTTCAAATCCTTTCTATTGCAATAACTACCAGCATTGCAAATTCCGTTCAAATACCGATGGATCCGCTACACAATAGTCCAGTGATAACGACCAGAATTTACCTTATATCTGCTCACAATTCCCATTGCTTATGTTATGTCAAATATGATGCTAGTGATAGCAAACATGAGCCTCCCTACTGCTGATGTATTTCGTACTCAAGACATCTATGTCGTCTCTGCTTCGGTGCTAGGACAATATTTCAAAGCCAAATTCATATGCATAGGAATGAGGTACTTACTTGTTTGGCATTTTGCATAATGAAACCTTGCTGAGCCCTCTCCACATAACTCTTCTGGTTAACCATATTTTCCGGTTTTTCCTGCCTTTATTACACGCATCTGAGGAATTCGATTAATGACTCTCAAACCATTTATCTCAAATTCTCTAGTCAACTGAGATTTAAGTATTGCAATAATCTAGTTGTTTGGTTCTGCTATAATCATGTCATCGACATATAATAACAAGGTAGTAACGTTTCCATCACTACATCCACGAAAATATGTACAAAGGTCGGTTTCACATCTATAAAAATTCAAGCTCAATACGAAAGTGTCAAACCATTTGTACCAACAACTCGACGTCTGTTTCGACCCATACAATGATTTCTTCAGCCTACAAACAAATTCTCTTTACCTTTCCTTAACAAAGCCTTCAGGTTGGGTCACATAAATTTATTCTTTTAAGTCATCATTAAAAAAAGACCTTTTCACATCTAACTGTTTCAACTCTAAATCAAGAATAGTAATCATCACTAAAACAACTCTAATAGTGGACATGTACACGACAAAAGAAAAAAACTCATAATAAACAATACCTGATATTTGAGCATAGTCTTTCACAACCAATCAGAAGTACTATTTTTCTTGAAGACCCACCTGCTACAAACTGCCTTTCGCTCATGTCATAATTCGACGAGGTCCGTGTCCTATTTATCTATACGCCTTTCATCTCTTCTTCCATGAGTGCTGTCTATTGACAAGCTTCATCGACCTCACATGCTTCACGATAAGAACACGACTCCCCCTCCTCTGTTAGGTAAGCATAAGTCAAGACATAGTCGTTGAGCCCTATATGAGTCTTCTTAAGTCTATCGGATCTTCTCAATTCTTCAATACCTAAATATTTTTCAAGAACTTGGATAATTTCGAGTTCTTGGTCTTGGCCGTTATCTCGCTAGTTCTCATGGGTGCATTCCATCTCAATAGTTTTTGCATCTGGCTTATCTTTTTTTTTTTCTGCATGGTATTTTCATTAGAGATAACATCTCAACTAACTATAATCTTGTAGTTAGTAGGATCCCACTAGCTATAACACTTTATACCATCAAAAGAGCTAATAAAAACACACTTTTGGATTTTGCATCCAACTTACTTCTTTTCTTCTTTAGAATAAATGAATATGCAGGACACCAAAAACATGAAGGAAACAATAATCAACAGGTTTATGAAGGAAAGAATAATCAACAAGTTTACCTGTCCAAACCACTTCTAGTTCTTGTAGCTAATAACAGAGCTGAGAGACATAATAATTAGGAAACAAGTTGTACAAACTGCTTCTGCTCAAAACACTACTCTTAACCCGACAACACTTAATATACACCTGGCACGCGCTATAATGGTACGATTAATCTTATCAACAATACCAGTTGGTTGAGGTGTTTCATGATCTGTCAACCTCCAAGCAATACCATGCTCCCTATAAAATTCACTAGGACAAAGTTCCCCCTCATTATCGGTTCTTAGACACTTGATGTTCTTACCTTTATGATTTTCTCCCAATGACCTAAATTCTTGGGAATAATCAACGGCGTCTGATGTCTTGTTCAGCATAGAAACCCTTGTTTTTCTTTAAAAATCATCAATAAAAGTGACAAAATATGAAACACCCTCTCCACAATGTTTTCCTTAAATTTTTCTAGAGAGAGAGACAGAGGATTGAAAAAAATAGCTATTTTTTTTGGGGTAGTTATTGCGTTAAAGAAAACAAAGTAAGGGGAGGAAATGCGGAGGGGATGGAATCATATATACTTTAAAAAATTAACGCCGCACGATAGGAAAAATGGGAGAGGGGTTGTTTCGAAATTGAATTTTTGTGGGGTCTATATGAAATTGTCCTTTTTCTTTCTGGTTAAACACCATTTTTTCCTTCGAAATCTTGCTTCTTTTATAAAACGACAGGCATTCTTCCAACGATTCTAATGAATAGTTTTATCGAGTAGAAATTCGGGGCTTGTTGGGATCAAATCATTATCACTAATAATTTACTATTTCAATAAAGTAAATCTTAATAATAGATTATCTATTCTTTGACAATGTCTCGTATAAAATTATATGAAAAACTTATATGGAATTTTACAGATAAGTTTATCTTTTTTGAAAGCAATCTTTATTTGATTCAAAATAATGTTTCTGAATATAATGTGTTTTTAGCCATAAATAACACAAAACAAACAAAGAATAAAAAATAAAAATAAATTATTAAATATTATATGTTACAATGTATGTACAAAACAACTAATAAAATAATATTGAGTTGGGTATGTTTCTTTCAGATCAAATAGTCTGACAGTATTACTTATCATTCAAGGGCCCCTATAACTATGTTTTACTAATATTTGTGACATTCAGACAAACTTGTTGCTAGAGACTTTCTATACCCAACTCAAGAGAGATAGCAATTGAAGGTTCTTTTCTTTTTTTCTTTGTTTTCATCATTTGGTTGTGGCACATAATCATTATAAATTTGAAACCCGGCTATCCAGATATGAAATCGTCGATTTGGACTGGGAATCGGTCGAGACCATATCCATTTGGACAAGGTATTGATATTGGTCTGGTTTCCCCCCTAAAACCCCCATACATATTTGTTTTTTTTTTTTGTTTTGAAGCTTATCTAACACAGTGGAGGCCTCTTCTTGTAGGGAGGTAGCTAGCAAGTATGCTCTTGAGATCAGGGTATTGATACTAAAGCTCTTGGCTCTATTATCTGAAGGACTTGGACTTGATTCTGGTTATTTGAATGAGCAATTTGGCAAGCATAATCAAATACAGTTGATAAATTACTATCCTCCATGTCCAGATCCCAACCTAACACTTGGGCTGCCAGGGCATTTCGATCCTAATGGCATTACAGTTCTTTTGCAAGATGAAGTAGGAGGATTGCGAGTGCTCAAAGATGGAAAATAGATCATCGTGAAACCGGAGAAAAATGTTTTGTGGTTAATATAGCCGATCAATTGCAGGTACGATACAGAGCTCTTCTCATTATTCTTATGATGCAGCCTAGTTTACCTTTATAATAACTGGGCTCTGCTTATGATACTTTCAATGCAGCCCATATTATGGCGCTATTTTTAATCATCAGTTTCCAAGTTTTTACATATGTCAATACAAGGCTCACATTATTTATACTAACTAAATGTCTTTAATTTTTTTTATAAATGAATTAATCACATTGTGCTATTTTTATACAAGGAGTTACAGAGTATTCACATATGTCAATACTAGGGTCACATTGTCTATGACTTTTTTTTTTGGGTGTTTATGGGAGGTAATTTAATGAGAAATGAATTTCTTACTTATTGTAGAGCTGGAGTTCAAGACATCATGTTACGGTGCCCTGCCACCCTCACTAGCTGAATAAGAAATTGTTTATTAAGCCTCGATTTGTTTCATGGATCCAATTTAAAAAGCTTCTTTATTTCCACAAAGTAGAAAAATGGCCCCTAATAAGTCCTTGTTTTTAGGAGTATAGATACAATTTTTGGGAGTCCATTGTAGGAAAATAAATATGTCATCTCACAGTCAGATGTCAATCCTAGACGGATGGGGTATGCTGTTCTTCTTGCTCAGGGTTTTGATTTTCTTTGAGAGGTACAACGACACACTCCAGCTATTTCCATTGGACATATGAGGGTCGTGGTGATGTGATTTTATGTATAGTTTTTACTTGGCAATTGAATATTCCAAAAAGATATTATGCAAACCCACAAAAGCATATTGCATATTCATTTCCTTGGTTCAAATCGCAAATGCTATTCTACTCCCTCAGAAGTATATTGTCCATTCACTTCCTCAGATAAAACCCCACCTAGGCCCCCCAAATTTTTGAGATATAACCTCTTTAATACATATATTAACGTCAACCAAAAATATTTTTTAATTGCACCCTCTAAATACTAGAAAAGGCTTATATATCAAGATTGAGTGGAAACCGTCCAATTTACAGAGGGTGAAATCTAAGTATCATGAAAAGGATTATTTCTCAAGATTGAGTAGAAACCGTCCAATTTCTAGAGGGTGACATCTAAATATTAGAAAACTCAAATTCCAATTTGTTTTTTCATTTGTAAATAATCATCTTGTTATATTTAAGTAGTTCCCAAAAATTCAGCTAATCAAAATCCTCGAGTAGGTCATCTGACCTACGCACTAGAACTGAGTATATGGAATGCATTCAAATTTTGGACTCTATGAGAACTTCTTTTATTTTTTATTTGTTTTAATACTGATCCAATGATTTTAATTTCTTAAGTTGATTCTAAAGATTCTTGTTGAGAAAACCCACCAAATATGCGTCCTAGCTGAGGGAGTAGATGTACATTACTAAACTATCCCCCCCCCCTTCCCCCCGTCACAGGAGTATGCTCTTTGGGGACTCGAATATCTTAACTAGTTCTTTGTAGTTTTTTATCGCTCTTACAGTCTTTCACTTTCTGCTCTATGATGTCATGTGCTTTATCAGACAAAAAAATAGAGAGCTTTATGTGTTGGTGTGAACGGTTTAGGTTATCAGCAAAAAGCGTGGAACACCGTACAATTACGAATTCCACCTCCTCTCGAATTTCATTACAAACATTTTATGGTCCCTCGTTGGATGCATCAATTGGGCCAGACAATGAATTAGTGAGCATAGAAAGCCCTGTAATTTACAGGAGTTACACATTTGGGGAGTTCATTGACAGGTTTTTTAGCCAGGAACTCAAAGGGGAAGCAATCCTTGACCAGTTCAAGTGCTATGCAGAGTGAATATTTAAAGGGCTTAGCATCCTAAACCACAATGAGTTTGATGCAATTGGTGACATGGTTGTCAATATTCTACAGCTTATCTGGCTCCATATGGTGAATGGAATTAGTGAAAATAAGGGTTTAAAGTCCTGTACTGGAAACAACTATTTTGAATGGTTGTGTGCCTTTGCCTAATTATATAAAGTTGGAAGGTTGTTGGAAGGTAGAATAGAGATTGCAGCAACAATTTGAGAGTATCATTTAATACAAATTGTTTATGTATTTGCTAAATAGCATTGCCAAAAGAGGATCGGAAAAACAATCTCTTGAAAATATTACTTAAATTTATTATAATCATAAGAAAATTACTTATGTAGGCTCGAATTTTATTGTTCTGTGCCTCAGCTCTATATCCCTTCGTAAAAAAACCCTTATTTTTAAAATTGATTGTGAAGTTCCTCGAATTTCGGTTTCATTTGATTCATATGCAATTGTTGGGCACACAGAGTCAAGTCGGCTTGCATGAATGCGGATGTGCGCAGGAGAACCTAGATTTAGGGGACAATAAATATACCATAAACGATGTGCGTGTATTTATGAGTGGGAAAATCAAGCAATAAAATAAATAAAATTAAAATGACTTACTAACACCGAGATTTTACGTGGTTCACATTTTAGGCTACTTCCACTGGATAATAAGATCAGATCCACTATTAAAAATAATGTTTAGAATGTTCTTCCAAGAACTAAGTTTTTTTGTACTCCCTGATTTCTTCTAATGACTCTATCTATCTAGGTTTTCCCTCTCTGAGGTCCTGTTCTCTCTCATAGGCTTCTGTTCTTTCCCAAAGGCATTCTATCACCAAGTTTCGAGAAGGTCTCAAAAAAATTTGAGTTCTATAAGCTCAAGGTCGATCTACTCCCAACCCGGGGAGATAACTTAGGTAGGTGCATGATTTCCTTTTGGTTTAGGAAATAGGTCTTTAGTATAAGTAGAGATTATTTTTAAGCATCGTTTCGAATGAGAAATTAACACGAGATTTAAGGAGATCTAGATAAAAATTGAGGGTTTTAGATAGGATAAAGCAAATCTTGAAAGAGAGATAAATAAAGGGGAGTTAAAAGTTAGGAGATTAGGGAGTTAAAAGTTAGGAGATTATTTAAAATCTATTTTTATCTTTAAATATAAAATTTTAAACTTAAAAAATGGTTAAAATAAAGTTGATCTATAAACATATGAAAGTCATGAAAATGAACGGTCTAGATAATGTGTTGCAAGATGCACTATTTTTGGTACTCAAATCTTTTTTTTTTTTCTTCATATCATGCATCTCGATGTCGAGATGATCAATTTGAGAGTTGTTTTTCTTCATCGGAATACGTTTCAATGGCCTATCTCCGAGCTATTTAAAATGGAAAAAGGAAGTCTCATTTCCTGTACCAACCATTCATCTCACATCTTTGGCAACTATCTGTTTAGTGGAAGAAATGGCTCATGCCTATCGTTTCCATACTTTGCAACTGAGACTTGACACCACAACTGCTCCAGATATGCACACTCCTCCACCATCATTTGGATAAAAGGGCTCTATTTTAACGTTAGGGAATAATGAAAGTTAATTGGATGCACACTCCTAATATGCACACTCCTCCAAGAGTTAGTCCAACGTGACGGAATAATGAAAGTTAGAAGCATGCAAGGTATAAAAGTGCCCTATCAACTAGTGACTTAAAGCTTAATTGACCGTCTCATAACGAGTGTTGTGTTAAAAATTAAGAAATTAAAAAAAAAATTTGTCCCAATTTGATGTACACAATTTAAGAAATACAATGGGTGAATGAGGCTTTGTGTCACTACCATTTTTTATGCGATCCAACGATCCAATCCGGATCGGCATTCTTTAAAGGAAACGTATTTGGTGACTCAGCTAACTCACTGCTAATTATGCGATCCTGTTGGGTTTGGCCATCTATGTAAACGATCTTGGGTAGGATCCCGGTATTTGAGATTCTCGGTTCCGCAAGGTAGGGTTCCTCGTAACCTTACATTTGGTATCAGAGGACAAGGTGACTTACATTAAGAAAAATATGAATAATGAGTTTGATGGAGACATGGTTTCAGGTGGAGAAGTATGGATGCCAAGTGTATTAGAAAATTCCACAATGGAAGCAAGTGATAAGAAATTAAGAAATCTATTCAACGAAAGTCGGCAAGATGAATTTGGCGATTTTTACGATCAAGGTGGATATTGTTAGATTTGTTGACAGTCAAAGTCACTTTACCTATATGTTATTCAAAAAATTGAGAGTAATATGAGAAATGAAAACGGGGGCTTCTTTGGGGAACAAAATAAAGCCCAAGTGTTCTCTATAAAAGAGGACTAAAGGAAGACATAATACTCATCCTTTTGAGGTTCACCTCCTAGGGGTTATGGGAAGGAATCTTCACAATAGAGATAGGTCTCCAAGAGAGAGAGAGAAAAAAAAAAAAGGGAGAGTCTCTCATTTGCTCTCAATTTGCTCTTTTCGGTAGCAGTATAGCGATAGGAGAAGAAGATGTTGATCATTTCTGTTACTCTGGCGGGAGAGCATGTTTAGAAGGGAAGATCAATAAGGTTCTTACCGATGTTTAAAAATAGGTATATATTTTGTAACAAAAAATTGTAATCGTCATTGTAATATTGGATTTCTACTTGCCAAAACTGTGAATATAGCCTTATGGGGCTAACTACGTAAATCTTGTGTTGTGGTGGTATGGTTTTTATTATTGTTTTATTTCTTACACTCGATTCGTAGTGGTATTTTTCTACTTCACATTTAGCCTTCTATGTGCATGATCTTGGGAAACCAGGTTCCGCATACTACAGGGTCCTAATAACCCTACAATCACTCTTAAAATATCCATCGCAAACATTTAGGATTTGATAATCTCAACTATTGTGGTTTACGTATATAGAATATTTTATTTTTGAAAATTAAAAATTACGTTTTTTAATACTTTTTTCCACCCTCCATTTGGTATAGTAAAATTATATTTTTCGACATCCAATATAAACATGGATGCCTACTGCAAAAGGAGACACACCTATTTTGGTGAGCCAGTGGCTTCCCCCATCTATCACTCTCTCACCTTATAATAAAATGAGCAATGGGACAATATGTAAAAAATATTCTAATGAATATGTAACATCCATTATTATGATTCTCATGCTCTTTTATATATCATTTCAAATTTAGTAGAAATAATTTTTAAAGGGGAAATATTTTTGTTCCCTCTATTTTTTGGTTCCATATCTTAATAGACCGAATGATTCAAAATATATCTCCTAACCCCTTGATTAACTTTACCCACTTTTAACTATTTTTTTAACACTAACAAATATAAAAAAGATATGCTCATTCTAAACCCCTCATCGCTTTATGTGATACTTCTCCCCAAATTTCTCTCTCTAACATTCACCCTCTTTGTCTCTCTAACGGGGAAAGAGAGCGTGAGCAACACGGGGAAGGGGAGAGAGAGTGGAAAAACAGGTAGTGAGAGGCAGATTTAGGAGAAAATTATGTGAAAAGGGAAATAATGATGTTTAAAAGGATAATTCTTTCTTATATTTTTTTGGGGCAAAAAAATAGGGTTGAAAGGAATAAACTTAGCTTAAGGGGTTAAAAGATATAAAACTTAGAATTTTTATATCACAAGATATGTTTTGAAAACTTCGGTCGACTGAGATGTAAAACTTAAAAATAGGAGGTATGAAGATATTTTCCGAATTTTAAATCAAACAACTAGCAAAAAAATATATGAAAAACCAATACATAATTGCTATTATGGATAATTTGTTTAAACATATATAAAGCCTACCTATAACTAAATAAATATAAAAATAACTTTAGAGAATTACTGCCAACTATGAAGAAGAAAAATTGCTAATAACATATCAAAATTATAAGATAATATGGAAACTATTACTTTATTATAGTCTTATAAAAAGTATATTTAGTGAGTCAGCATCACCTGTTGTGAGGAGGTACAGCAAGGATGGATGTCTCATAAATGAGGAGGCACATGTTTTGATGAGTCCGTTGACTCACCAAAACTTTGTCCTTATCACATGAGTAGAACAAGGAGGCTATGGTCAAACCTCCTTGTATCAATGTATCTCGCCTTATTTTGAAATAACATCACTATAGATATCTAAGGGCAGAAAAGGTAGAAGGGAATGCACACTATAGGAAAATGGAGGGAGAAAATTTTAATTTAGATTTCACAATGTTGTTTCTATTGGCTAAAAATTAAGTTTATGTGTTATTTTTTAATTGATTTAAAATATTTAACTGAATTTTGGGGTTTAGGTTTTTTTTAAAACATAACTTAATAAAAATGATTAAAAGTATTTTTAAATAAAAACAAATATACATTTAAATGGACGATGATGATTGAATAGCAGAAAATAGACAAAGGTATTCGACTCCTGAGTTGGCTCACAAAAGTGGACGTTGTACAGCGAAGAGTGGGCAGATTTTGTCTCTCATCAGCGGCCATGGCAGAGGTTGCTAAAGGATTAGAGAAACTCATAAGCAATGGTGCCAACTCCAAATATTTGACAGAAAAGTACATCCTTCCTCTTGAAGAACGACCCAAGTTCTCTTCCGACGAATCCCTTTCTGAATCCATTCCTGTAATCGATCTCAGTCGTGTTTCTGATTGTTTAGGTCAACAAAATATTATCCTGCAGATCTCTAAAGCCTCTGAAGACTATGGATTTTTTTCAGGTGATCTCTCTCTCTCTC